CCTCCACTCGGTAGCGGGGCTGCAGCGGGTCCTTCTCATCGATACGGATACGAAACATGTTCCCCTCCAGAGCCGTGACGTCCATCGTGAGCCTCTTGTCTGTGAGCGATGACACCACCTCCATCTGGCAGCCGAATTCCTCCAGATTCCTCACTGAGGACGGGTCCACTCTGTAGGGCGTCTCTCCCGCGGACTGCTTGCGGTTCCGACTGTAGGAGAACGTCACAGAATCACAAACGCAACAACACAGGTAAAGCATCGTGGCTATTCGACTTCTTCTCGAGCCGCTACGGCTCCATTAGCTCTAATTATCGCCCTCTTCATTAGCTGCTGACCGACCTGCAGAAAGAGCTCTGGGCTGCACGTCTTGAAGTTGTTCTTGTCGACGGCCACGGAGCCCAGCAGTAGGACCGACAACGACGTACACACCACCACCAGCCTCGCCGCCATACCTAAACTCTAGCTCGCTTTGCGGCTTTGTCGTTGGTGTGCGGAAGCGAAGCGACCCACGTGTGTCGATGAAACGCTGACGTTACGATGTATGAACGTAAGAACGTTATACAATTGCGCTACGTTGTGTGGTCACGTGAGATATGCTGAAAGTCACGAGAGCATCTCTCAGATAGATAGAAGGTGGACTTTCTGAGCTTATTTACGTCTTCCGCCGGGAGTTCCTGACAGCCTTCCTAGAGAGAACGAGCGGCGATCTCAGTGTGTGCTGGTGAGCTGAAGATTTATAGACGAGAAGGACAGAGTCAGAGAGAACGCTGCGCTACTCCACCACCGAAAGACATGGTGTGAATTTTGCACGTACTTCTCGCTGTTATTACAGGGTTTACAGGGGCGTTGTTTCTCTCCTCTGCCTACAACAGGGAGCGGAGCAGTCGGTACCGGACGATGTGGCCAGCAAATGTAAGTAGCCAAGCAAAGATGGATATGTGTATGTACGAATGTGTGGTGAAACAGAAGGCTCGAGGTAGCGGGGCAGTTTTCCTTGGGATTCCACAACGCTCCATCAAATTGACTGTCAGGGTCACACCATTGCTAGAATTCTCTGGAGACCTTTCACTTTACTTCCTCTTCTTACATCCTATGCTGTATAAATGTAGTAATGAAACTCTTTGTTGCCCCTTATATATTACCTCGCCCTCCATCTGGCTTCTCTGGCAAAATACACAGTTTCAGTTTTCCCAATCGATCATCTCTCTCTACGTGTTCCCCTGCAGTTGAGGCTGATGAGATTCGCAGGCTAAGCCACAGCTTCAACAAGCTGGACCTGAACAAGAATGGGTCTCTGTCGGTGGACGAGTTTCTCAGCATCCCTGAGCTGCAGCAGAACCCTCTCGTTAGGAGAGTCATTGATATCCTGGACACTGACAGAAACGGAGAGGTGGATTTTCAAGGTGGGCCACCATCTTTGTGAGTGTATATAATACATAATGAGACCAAGAAACCTGGCATTTGACTCTTTCAGTATGTAAGCTTTAAACAGTTGGTACATGTATTGGTGACATTGACGAAAGAAGTTATGAAAATTGGCCAGATTCACTCATACTGACTTCACAGGACCACATTAGCATAAGCCGCGCGCAGTATGAATATTGCTGAGGGCAGTACTCGCATGTGTTGTACATGTTTCTTAGAACTCAATGCCTCGTACATACAATAGTATAGTCTAAGATTGGTTGTGCATAAGATGAGTATTCATGTACTACATATGATGCTCACACCAACAGAGTTCATTCAGGGAGTGTCACAGTTCAGCGTGAAGGGAGAAAAGGAAAAGAAACTTAGATGTGAGTTGTACTTCTACGATGACTCTGTCTCTCTTTGCAGAGAAATTCCGTGTGCACTAAGACTGGTGATACACTACAACAATTTGCAGGATCCCATTCTTGTCTCACGCATGAGTTGTCAGAAAAATAATTCTTCCCCCTGCCTATTTATCCATGCTCTTCCTTCTCTTATCCACCCACGCGACCCCCTATACCCACCACACACCCTCTCTCTATATAATATACGCGACACAGTTGCATTCAGGATATACGACATTAACCAGGACGGCTTCATCAGCAACGGGGAGCTGTTCCAGGTCCTCAAGACCATGGTGGGCAACAATCTCACCGAGAAGCAGCTGCAGGAAATAGTGGACAAGACCATCCTCTACGCAGACAAGGACGGTGACGGCAAGATCTCATTTCAGGAATTCTGCGATGTGAGTAATTTTAGAGGTAGTCCCTGTTATTATGGGAGGATGTTTGTTTGTTGGCCTCAGGTGGTGGGAAATATGGACGTGCCGTCAAAGATGTTTGTCGAGATTCGGCCGGTCCCTCCCTCTCCTCCCTCTGCATCACCGGGGACACCCTAAAATCATTACCACCAATTATTATTTTTTTCACTATTTCACTCATCCACTATGTTATATATACAAATAGTGTCCCATACGTTGTAAATAGTGTGCACAATTGACAATGAAACTGTAAATCATGCTTGCGCATGCGTGTAGCTGCCAGAGAAAACGGTGGGCGTAGCTCTACGCTTGTACTTTGGCCTGCCAGGCGTGTGTGCCATGACTACTTTCTTCCATCTTCCGCGTGAGGACGTTGTTTTCTCCCTCATTTTCCCTCGTCTAGAGCCACAGGAGACGTGGAGACTCAGACTGGTCTGCATGGAGTTCTGCAGTCTCTGTGAAGAGTATTTCGCGGCATTCTGCACGTCCATTGCCTACGAGGAGCTCGTTTTAGAAGAAGCCGAGACACTAAGGGACAGAGCTTGCATATCGAGGGTTCTACTCGCCTCTCAAAAGCTCAAGAATATAAGTTTATGTCTGTCTAGACGAACAGCGAGTGCCGTGCTCAATCGAGCCAGCGAGTTGCTCGTGACCAGAATGTGGAACTCGCACACAAACTGGAAACTGGTGCGACTGTCGCTTGTGGCTGTGGACTACAGCTGTGATACTAACACGTCACATCACTCCGGTTGGGAAAGACTCGGGGAGAAATGTACATCGCTGAAAGAGCTACATATCGAGGATATGTGTCCATTCGATGACAGGTGTCTGCAGAGCCTCACCAGGCAGTGTGCCTCTCTTGTAGACCTGACACTCAAATCCCTGCCTGCTTTGAGAGGACTTTACCTCCAGAAGTTGGCAGAGACCTCCCACCATCTCACTACATTGAATGTAAGAAAAATGAACATCCAAACTAAAATTTTATGATGAAATTTGTAACTTCTATATATAGCTCTCGGGATGTTATAATATTGAGGTGGAACAGCTTCAGAGGACGGTTCGTTACTGCCACAATGTCAGGGGCCTTGACTTCAGTTCGATGTTTGCAGCAGTCAACGACGAGACCATTCTGACTGCAAAGGAGTTCTGCCCTCACTTGCAGTGGGTGTGTGTTACACAGTGCTCCCGAGTCACCCAACGCTACCTCTCACCACTCGTGGAGAGGGGGGCAACAGTCATTGGTGGAACAAACGAAAGAAGTAATCACAATTTTCATAAAATCTGGGGCCAAATCTAATCACACAATCCTAGCTAAACAGTTTTGTCTATGGCTCGATCACTTGGTGCCAAACATGTTCTGGTCTCGCATGGAGTACACAGCCACGTGAACTTCGTCGAAAATTTCCTGCCCAATGGCGGCTTGGACATCCTTTATCCACTGGGCGATTCGCGGGTAGCCCTCGCAATGGTCGATGTGCATCATCCAGAACTGAGTGAACTCGCAGATGGCCTGCAGATCAGCAATGCAGATCTCGTCTCCACCAATAAACTTCTTGTCCTTCAGAAAGTAGTTTTCGAGCATGTCTTTGCTCCTTTTCTGGACACCTTCAAGCTCCTTTAGCTTGTCTGGATTTGGAGTACCACCAAAGAACTTGGGGGCAAAGTACTACGGGGGGATATATGCATGCATTCATCACAATGTTGTACTATGCTATATATGTCTTTGTACTTTATTTGCGAGGTACCCAGCTGCTCCTCTGCGTAGGTTAGTACCATGCCACCCCAGGTACTCGTCAATCTTGGCCTGACGTTGTACATCTGATGGGTACCAGTGCTCCGGCAGATTATACTTCCTCACGAGGTACTTCAGAATGGAGGAGCTAGAAAACCAGACAATGGGAGGCGGGGTTATGGATAATGCGAGATGCCTACCTCTCAAACAGGCAGAAGTCACCATCACAGATGGCCGGGACTTCTCTGGTTGGGCAAACATTACCATATTCTTCATCTTTCTTGTGCTCTCCTGCAAATACACACGATAGTCAGTATATCGCGTGCTGCAGCTACACCCACCCACCTTCTGTCACCTTCAACGGATGTTTTACATGCTCGATTTTGGCAGCTCCCAGAAGAAGGCCGACGGCTCGCGCAGGCTGCGAGAGAAAGTCGTGGAAGAACGTCAACGAAGTCATGGCTCGGAGGACAACTCGGCCTCGCCAAAATTGAAAATGCAGCGTGTAAAAAAATCTGGCCAGCAGGGTCTGAGCGCGCATGCGTGTGCGAGCGTAATTTCTAAAACAGAAGCTCTAGCTATTGCCCTATAGTTTTCCTTCGAAGATGCCTCTGTCTCGCGCCATGTACACCATCTTGTGGACTTCGTCAAAGCTACACTGAATGTAAGAAAAAATGAACATCTAAACTGAAATTTGAAATTTGTAACTTGCTCTCAGGATGTTATAATATTGAGGAGGAACAGCTTCAGAGGACGGTTCGTTACTGCCACAATGTCCGGGGCCTTGACTTCAGTTCGATGTTTGCAGCAGTCAACGACGAGACCATTCTGACTGCAAAGGAGTTCTGCCCTCACTTGCAGTGGGTGTGTGTTACACAGTGCTCCCGAGTCACCCAACGCTACCTCTCACCACTCGTGGAGAGGGGGGCAACAGTCATTGGTGGAACAAACGAAAGAAGTAATCACAATTTTCATAAAATCTGGGGTCAAATCTAACCACACAATCCTAGCTACACTATTATATAGCTGCTACTAAGTTTTGTCTACGGCTTGATCACTTGGTGCCAAACATGTTCTGGTCTCGCATGGAGTACACAAACACGTGAACTTCGTCGAAAATTTCCTGCCCAATGGCAGCTTGGACATCCTTTATCCACTGGGTGATTCGCGGGTAGCCCTCGCAAGGGTCAATGTGCATCATCCAGAACTGAGTGAGCTCGCAGATGGCCTGCAGATCAGCAATGCAGATCTCGTCTCCACCAATAAACTTCTTGTCCTTCAGAAAGTAGTTTTCGAGCATGTCTTTGCTCCTTTTCTGGACACCTTCAAGGTCCTTTAGCTTGTCTGGATTTGGAGTACCGCCAAAGAACTTGGGGGCAATGTACTACGGGGGGATATATGCATGCATTCATCACAATGTTGTACTATGCTATGTGTTTGTACTTTATTATAAAGGTACCCAGCTACTCCTCTGCGTAGGTTAGTCCCATGCCACCCCAGGTACTCGTCAATCTTGGCCTGACGTTGTACATCGGATGGGTACCAGTGCTCCGGCAGATTATACTTCCTCACGAGGTACTTCAGAATGGAGGAGCTAGAAAACCAGACAATGGGAGGCTATGGATAATGCGAGATGCCTACCTTTCAAACAGGCAGAAGTCACCATCACAGATAGCCGGGACTTCTCTGGTTGGGCAAACTTTACCAAACTCTTCATCTTTCTTATGCTCTCCTGCAAATACACATGATAGTCAGTATACCGCGTGCTGCATTAGCTACACCCACCCACCTCCTGCCAGCTTCAACGGATGTTTTACATGCTCGATTTTGGCAGCTCCCAGAAGAAGGCCGACGGCTCGCGTTGGCTGTGAGATAAAGTCGTGGAAGAACGTCAAAGAAGTCATGGCTCGGAGGACAACTCGGCCTTGCCAAAACGGAAAAACTACAGCGTGTAAAAATCTAGCCAGCAGGGTCTGAGCGCGCATGCGTGTGCGACACGAAAAATGAACATCTAAACTGAAATTATAATGAAATTTGTAACTTCTAATAATAGCGGAGTTCTGCCCTCACTTGCAGTGGGTGTGTGTTACACAGTGCTCCCGAGTCACCCCAAATTTTTTTTTTCGTGATAAAAAGTTGGGTGACTCTGGAGCAGTCACCCAACGCTACCTCTCACCACTCGTGGAGAGGGGGGCGACAGTCATTGGTGAAAGAAGTAATCAAATCCAGGATCAAATCCTAGACGACGAGCGCGCGCTAAGCACATATTATGCGTACGTCGCGCTATCCTTACGCATGCGCAGGTAGCACATGTGAAAAATGATAAAAGCGCGCGCGTAACGAAGCCGCGCATGCGCACTTACACGACGTAAGCGGTCGGTCGTATACGTTTGGACCACTAGGTACTAGGTTAGCTCGCCTCCCGCTCGCCAATTATATAGCTGCGACTAAGTTTTGTCTGGGGCTCGATCACTTGGTGCCAAACATGTTCTGGTCTCGCATGGAGTACACAGCCACGTGAACTTCGTCGAAAAATTTCCTGCCCAATGGCGGCTTGGACATCCTTTATCCACTGGGCGATTCGCGGGTAGCCCTCGCAAGGGTCAATGTGCACCATCCAGAACTGAGTGAACTCGCACACGGCCTGCAGATCAGCAATGCAGATCTCGTCTCCACCAATAAACTTCTTGTCCTTCAGAAAGTAGTTTTCGAGCATGTCTTTGCTCCTTTTCTGGACCCCTTCAAGCTCCTTTAGCTTGTCTGGATTTGGAGTACCGCCAATGAGTATGGGAGCGACGTACTATATACGGGGGAATATGCATGCAATGTTGTACTATGCTATATAGAGTACATACTTTATTTGCGAGGTACCAAGCTGCTCCTCTGCGTAGGTTAGTACCATGCCACCCCAGGTACTCGTCAATCTTGGCCTGACGCTGTACATCTGATGGGTACCAGTGCTCCGGCAGATTATACTCTCTCACCAGGTACTTCAGAATGGAAGAGCTAGAAAACCAGACAATGGGAGGCGGGGTTATGGATAATGGATGCCTACCTCTCAAACAGGCAGAAGTCACCATCACAGATGGCCGGGAGTTGTCTGGTTGGGCAAACTTTACCAAACTCTTCATCTTTCTTATGCGCTCCTGCAAATACACACGTTAGTCGGTATATCGCGTGCTGCATTAGCTACACCGTAGATGGCTACACCCACCCACCTTCTCCAAGCTTCACCGAATGTTTTACGTGCTCGATTTTGCCAGCTCCCAGAAGAAGGTCGACGGCTCGTGCAGGCTGCGAGACAAAGTCGTGGAAGAATGTCAACGAAGACATGGGGCCTCAGCAAAACGCAGCGTGGATCGGTCTGGTGCCCCTCTCCGGTCCTTTGTGCGCATGCGTCCAAGCGCGCATGCGTGTTTGAGCGCAAGTGCACACACACTTCAAAAATCTGTATATACAAACTCTATTGCCCTACAGTTTTCCTTTGAAGATGCCTCTGTCTCGCGCCATGTACACCATCTTGTGGACTTCGTCAAAGCTAGGTCCCAGAGTGCTCTGCACCTCGCCCATCCATCGAGCGATGGTCGGTCTACCCTCACAGGGATCAGAGCCTGCCACCCAGAACTGTGTCAACTCGCACACGGCCTGGAGGTCCGCAATTGATATCTCGTCTCCACAGATGAACTTGTGGTCCTTCAGGAAGTAGGTCTCCAGCATTTTCTTGCACTTTCCGAGCAATGCCTCTAATTGGCTCGTCCTCTCAGGGTTTCCCTCTTTTCCAAGCAAGCTTGGCATAAACACCTAAAAACAAAAATTGAACTCCTCAGTTTGTGCAAAATTTGTTACCTTGCTAAATATCAGCTCAGCAGCACCAACTCTGAGATTAGAACTATGCCAACTCAAGTATTCATCTACTCTTGCTCTCTTTGCAACATCCGACGGGTACCAGTGATCTGGGAGCTTGTACTTTGTCACAAGATAGCGCAGAATAGCAGAGCTTGGATGAGAGACAGTTTCCTAGTCACACACACACACAAGCAGACAGGGAACACTGTATGACCGACCTTTCAGAGAGTGTGAATCCATTGTCGTCAATTGCAGGGACTTTCTTGTGGGGATTGACTCTCAAAAACTCCTCGTCAGTTCTGTTCTCGGCTGAGGAGAAAATGTTTGCAAACTCAATTTTTTTAGTGGGTGTCTACCAACCTTTGGCGATTTTTATCATCCGCGGCTCAAACTTGACGTTGTTTGCGTGCAGCAGAAGGAGCACTGCTCTCGAGGGCTGCGAGAAAGAGTCGAAAAAAACCTTCAGTCCCGCCATTGTCTAGCTCTTGGTCCGAAGGAACCACACCTTCTTTCTTGTTTTTACGCGCATGCGCATGTGCATGTGACTGCCCCACGATGCTGTCGTTCCTCTTCCACTCGTTTGCCTGGCTCTGCGTGAGCTACGTACTGTTTCTCGTCGTCCAGCTCGTCCGAATATTCCTGAACGACTGTGATCTTATCCTCTCCCTGTACGAGCGCTGGGGGAAACGGCCAGAGGCGGTGCTAGCAGGGAAAGTGGTGTGGATTACCGGGGCGTCCAGTGGGATTGGGGAAGCCATTGCCTACGAGTTGGCAAAGGCCGGAGCAAGGCTCATTCTGTCGGCGAGAGGCGAGGAGGACCTGAGGAGAGTAGCCAACAAATGCAGAGGTAGGTATCTTTATGGAGTTTTTTTCCTGGATTTTCTCCATTTTTTCTCCAGAATTATCCCCTATCTCATGTCGAGATGCCCACCTGGTGCTGGTCCTAGATCTACTGGATACAGAGCAGCATGGCCCACTAACTGCCAAAGCCGTTGAACAGAATGGACATGTTCGCTCTTTACTCTGACTGACTCAAGTGCTTGAGGTCTATAATTATACACTGCAGATTGATGTGCTCATCAATAACGCTGGGTCCTCTCAGAGAGCAGTGGTTCTGGACACAGATCTGAAGGTGGACCGAGCGGTGCTGGAGCTGAACACCATTGGCACTGTCTCCCTCACCAAGTGTGTCCTGCCACACATGGTCGAGAGAGGCCAGGGGAGTATAGTTGTTATCAGCAGTGTAGCCGGAGTCATTGGTAAGGAAATATCCAAGTATTAATAATACTTGATAATACGTGTTCTCTTGGACACTTCCCAGGTTCTCCGGGCTCTGCATCTTACTCTATGAGTAAGCACGCCTTGCACGTTAGTCATTCACTCTTCAACACTTCACCCTTGACTCACGAGCCGTGTGTTTCTCTTTCACTCAGGGTTTCTTCAATACACTGAGAATGGAGGTAGCTGAGAATGGTGTGACGGTACACATGGTGTGCCCTGGGCCTGTGGACACTCCGTACTTCAAGAGGCAATTTGGACCTGTCCTAGGAAAAGTTGGTACCAGACTCGCTGTGTTAACATTATGCATACTCTAGGTGTACTTGAACCCATGGGTTTCACTGACTAGCTGGTAAACGGTTATTCTTGTAGGGACCTGAAGTTATACGGGATCCAGGGAAGAAGGACAGAACTCGAGTGACAGCTGAGAGGTGCGCCCAGCTGACAGTCGTGGCTCTGGCTAACAGACTAGACGAGGTGTGGATCTCGAAAAACCCCATCCTCTTCTTCACCTACATGTTCCACTACTGCCCCCTCCTAGCAAACTGGTGGGCCAATTGTCTTTGATTGTGGGGTCCCTCCCTGTAATCATATTATTGATTAAAATGTTGCTGCAGGTTAGGCAAGCGAATAGGAGGCAATAGAGCAAAGGCCATCAAAGCCGGGGAAAAGGTAGATCCCTGGAATTATCATCATGTTCCCACTTCAGATGTGTAATTACGATTGCAGGTGATAGATGATTCTTTCTTTTCCTCCATGAAGAAGACGGAATAGGGTTAAACAGCACAGATATGTACATACTGTGTATACATAGTACATAGTGTAATAGGGGGATTTATTTCTTGCACTGATCGTTGAGTGTGGTGAATAGAGGCGAGAGGGTCACCAGTTTGAGGGCTGTCTGCACGTCGCTCAGCCTTCTCGTGAACTGGTGCTTGTCTAGAACCTTTGTTGGGTTCAGATCTCTTGCCTTGTCCGATACTACATACTTCACCTGGGGTTACGAGTTAGTGATACCGTTACTCTCCGTATAGACTGCATGTTTACCTGGTGAGTGTAGTGGAATAGTTCAAAGATGTAGCTTCCGTTGTCCTCTACTAGCCTGCCTTTGATGCTGAAGTTTGCCCCGGGAGACTGTAGGAAAAATGCTCAGTGAAACAATACGAAGGGTGTGAGCATGAAAACCTTTAGTGAGGATGGTGCCTTTGTAATATTGGCATAGTTGAAAAAGACTGGGTGGCCAGGGTTGAGGAGCTCATCAATATCTACTGCCTGCAGGTCAGGGGGTTAACGTGTTATAAACACACTGAGACAAGTAGTGTATAAACCTGGTCTTCGTCACTGGTGTCACTAGATTCACTGTCAGAGCCACTCCCGTACCCTGCATGTATAGGAACTCCATCCATTGTGATGATAGAGAGTACGCAAACACACCTCTGTTTTTGTGGCGCGCCTTCTTTATTTTGTTGTTGAGCCCAAGAATCTGCTTCTCGACTTTGCCCCTGGTGTACTGGTCTACTGAGAGGTACTGGTCTTTGGCCTTTTCAACCTGGCTGGCCTTCAGGGCTCGATATCTCTTCTTCCGCTTGCTTCTCCTCCACTTCCTCCGACCGTACTCCCACAGGAACTCCAGTGTCCACCAGAGTGGGAGGAGAGGGAGATAGAAGAAGAAACACAGCCCCTTACAGATGTCACAGCATGGCATAGTATCACTGTCAGAGAAGACAAGTAGTTAGGGGTACAGAGAGAGATAGTGTACACTCACGAGACTTTACAGGTGCATTCGTATTTCTTGTGGTACCAAGGCGTCTCATTCTTCACCCCTTTCCTCTTGTTGATCCTCATCTGTTTCCGGTGGAGCCGTCGAGCTGTCTTGGCTCCGTGACACATCCCGTTGCACGCCCTCGGCCGCCGCCAGCCCCTCTCGTAATCGCTCATTGCATTAGTGGTAGGGACATCGTCCTTCTCCCCTGTTATCAGCTGACCGACACACGAGAAACAGCAGAGGCAGCATCGCTGAAACGTTCCGGTCACAAACTTGTGAAGTGCCGGGCACCACTCGTTGGCGATTTTCTGCCACACTTCAAACGCAGCCTGTGCGGCCATCATGGTGGGCTCTGAGACTGCTGGGTAGTCAACCTCCCCAGTAAACATCATGTGGAGGACTTTGAGTCCACCGAGACAGATGAGGAGCCAGATGAACCAGCTGACCAACACAAACTTGCCAAAGTTGCCCTTCATAAAGTCCACAGCCTTTTTGAAGAAACGCAACCTCTTCCCAAAGTCTATGAAGGTGTCGTTCTTGTGGTAGGTGGGAGGTGGTGGACAGGTATCAGTCTCATTTCCACACTGCAGGATGCAATCATAGCATGGAGAAGGGAGATGGTTGAATACACATTAGCTCACAACACATCCACACTGGTCGTAGCAGAAACAGGTGTCTTCAGTCTCAAATAAAACAGTCATATTGTCCAGGAGCTCTCCGTTCTGGTTGCTGAGCTCAACTAAATACACAGAGGCAGACAGATAGCAACTGACTGAGTGAATGTATAGATCGTTTCCTACCATCGCACTTGTTGATCTTGCCAACGCTGTAGATAGAGTGCATGGTGAAGGAGAGGTTTGATGTCTGCTGTGGATCAAGTGTAATGAGGTCTTCAGCGACATAGTCTATCCCAGCCGTACACTTCACAACAGACACCTTAACAGGGAGCACACATAATAGCAATGCCACACTGCCAGCATCTGCCTGCCTGGTAGGATGCAGTGATTGTGCCAGTGTTCTGGGCCACAACTGTGAGCTCGCCCGACTCAGTGAGTGCTTGAAACGGTTCAATAAACGCCTCTATGATACGAGCAGGGGCCCTGTGGAGTGTATACAAATAGGCTGTTCAGAGTATAAGAGAATTTGAAGGTATACGTACAGGTGAGTGATGATCTTGAGGTCATCAGCTGCAAGTGTCACCACTACCATTGAGCGTCTCAAGCGAGCTGCCTTGAAGGTGAGGTGGCCAGTGGGCATCGAGAACTTGGTGTTGGTCACCGAGTGTAGCTTCCCAAATGTGAATAGCATGTACAGAGGGCGCTTCCCTTTCTCAATCTTATCCTATCGACCGCAGTATGCATCCTTATTGGCTGAAACACAACATGCAATATGTACCAACCTTGTCGTTCCAGTACAGGTTGTGTGCCTGCATATACAGACAGCTGCAAGGAAAAAGCACACTCGTAAAGACATTGTTTCTGTCAGTCAGGGGTGCTCCATATGTACCTGTGTTCCTTGTTGGTGCAGAAGTCAGACTGCCACCTGAAGTCACTATAGGTAACCCCCATCCTGTCACAAGTGTTTCCTCCATCATTGAGGGCCACCATGTTCTGATCGACCGCCAGCCACTCAGAACTCTTTTTCATGAAGTGTATCTCTTTCCTGTCGCGTAGTTCCTTGGCCAGGTCCGGGCTCTTCCCTAGCTTCCTCTGAATGTCATCCAGATCAGGGATGATTATGTACTTTGACAGGAGGAGTTTTGTCCGGGAAAATGTGTCTGGGTGAAAGTCTCCTATGTACTCAGCTTTTACCTGATCGGGGGGGAAATGGTCAGTATAAGTCAAGAGATCATCAAGCTTCACAGTTTCAAGTGTTCTTGTAGAGTTGCAAAACTTGTTAATGTCTCGACTCACTATGAAGGTGTCAGAAGATGCCACATGGCGGTGTGGGCCAAGCTCCAACGTGGAGAGTTTCTTCCAGTAGGGCTTGTCATCCAGTGTATACTGCTGCTCCTCGATGTCGACAAAGATGTCGAAGATGAGTCGTGGAGCCATCAACTCGTAGGCGTGGTCCCTGCGGGAACAATGATTGACACAGTAACGGTGCACTGTAGTTCTTACTGCAGTGGGGAGAGCCGCATGCAGTGTGCAATGGTGTGCCTTCTAGAGCCCATGCAATTGCCAGTGTTTGTCGTCGCTCGGTCAAACCTCTTACTCTTCCGATCACACCCGCAGCACACACCCTAGGTAAAGACAGACAACTCAACATCTAATAGTATCGTCATAGGTTCACCTGGCTATCAAATATCTTTTGTCCTGTAGGAGTATACTGTCTTCCACAGCCAAGCTGTCTGTCTTTGGCGAACCAATCAGCTCTGCACTTTTTCTTCTTCCTCATAATCTCATAGGGATGATGACTGAACGTCTGAATAATATAGCAGCAATGATCACAAGAAATTACCATCTCAGCCCAACTTACGGCAACTTTGTGCATGTCAAAGTGGATGAGGACTGGAGATTTCCTGACTCTGATTCTGAGGGGATACTTTAGCTGCACGTTCTTGGCCTTCATGGGATTACTGTTGTCCACCACTTTACTCACGTCCGCCTCCATGTGCCGTGACTTTCCCTGCAGGACGAATATTACAGCGTAGCTATTATCATCAATAATGTGGCATACTTCGTCTCCGGTGATTGTTAGGGCGACAACCAGCATTTTGGAGCAGGGCTCTCCAGAGGGTGTCTTTACGTCGTGGGATCCCACGCACTGAGTAATACTGCTCTTGGCTACAATTCCGGCCTCGAGTGGAACCGCACAACAAAACAGAAAGATCAGCAAATGAACTAACATGGTGTTCTCGCAACTTGCAGAGAAGCACTGCACAAGCGTTCCGACCATGGAAACGTAAGTTACAATGCGCATGCGCAAAGGTTCCAGCGCGCGAGTGTTTTGCTGAATCAGCACACAGCCCGGTGTGGAAAGAGATGTCAGATGATTTGGACTATGCCTTGGCGTTGTCCTTGCAGGAGGAATTCGAGAGAGAGAAGAGCAAGGAAGAGCGCGGCAATGATCTGCCAAAAATATCGACACAGAAACCGATCTCCGACCGCGCCTTGGCGTTGTCGTTGCGTAAGCAGTTCGAAAACGAACGGAGAGGCGAAAAAGAGCGGGAAACACCGACACGGAACTGATGCGTGAGCGCTACGACCCTAAACTGATAGTGGATGAGCGGTGGGAGCTGCTGGACCCGCATCCCAACATCCACGACCTCTTCGTCCTCTTTGACGCCATGTTTTTCGAGCGGAGGCTGGTCAACGCCGGGGTGGAGGTCCGCTGGAGCCCCAGAATGACTCTGTAAGACGCCAACACGTCTCTCTCTCTCTCTCTCGAGATGTCCAGGCTCAAAACTCTCCCTCTTCTTTTCCCCTCTCTGATGCAGCTGTGCGGGAGTTTGCTCTTACGAGGGGAGGGGAGGTCTGTGCTCAGTACGTCTGAGTGTCCCACTCCTGAAACTGAGACCCAGGAAAGATCTGGTGGAGACACTACTGGTGAGATTTACCATTGAAATTGCCTAATTTTGATGAGACTTTTCCATTGCCCAATAGCACGAAATGATTCACGCACTTCTGTTTGTGACAGAGAGAAACACGGTAAGCTACATACGCCACACACGTCCCTCGAGATTATCATGTATCATTCAATACAAGGATCACGACGGACATGGTCCAAACTTCTGTGCTCACATGAAGAGAATCAATGGAATCACTGGAGCCAACATCTCCATCTGCCACACCTTCCACCAAGAGGTAGTATAATAATTGTGTGTCTCTATAGTTGGACACTTTCAGAGGGAGCAAATTTGCATTTGTGGGCCACCCTCGAATGTTTTCTTCACAAATTTATTTCTCTTAAAAGTTTTTCCTGTGCAGTATTATACTAGAGTGAGTATATACTCTCCCCCTCTCTCCCTTCCCGATTTCCTGAAGGTGAGGCGGTACAGGCAGCACTGGTGGAGGTGCAACGGACCGTGTCGCGACAGAGCTCCCTTCCACGGCTGGGTGAAGAGGGCCATGAACAGGGCACCCTCTCCGAGAGACAGATGGTGGGCCGAGCACCAGATGACATGTGGGGGATCCTACACCAAGGTGAAGGAGCCCGAGGGGTATGGGAAGAAAACCGAGAAAACAAAGAAAGTCAAAGTCGAAGGAAACGAGAAAAAAGTCTCAAAAAAGGTGAAAACGTCTTCCAAGGATATTAAGGAGATGCTGACTGGGAAAGTTCGGGGAGAGGAAGAAAGTAGAAAGTCAAGTAAAGGGAAGAAGAAACAAAGTTCTCCCAATGACAGTGTTGATACTAAGGTCTTCAGTGGACCGGGGCATACGTTACGCGACAGGCCGGTTCTGTCTGACACTAGGCAGCCGTCGTCACAGAGCGAGCGTAGAAGGAGGCTCCTCGAGGCAGTGGAGAAGAGACAGCAAGTGGATCAGTCCAAGGGAATGAGGCGTAAATCTGGCGGGAGATTATCGGGTGATATCAGAGACTTTTACGCGACCTCTCCGTCACAGAATCAGAAGAGACTGAAACTGGAGGACTTTCGTTCCAGTACAAATGGACCAGTAGCCTCATCTGCAAGTAATTTGTCTTCATCTAGTAGGGACCTCCCTCCAGAATATCACAGTTCGTTGCCTGGACCAAGTCCTAGCTCAACACCGCAGGCGACCCCACATTATGATGAGGAGAGTGAAGCGTGTGGGGATGAGTGTGCGGTTGTTGACCCTGACAGTGTTGTGGTGTTGATTAGCGATGATGATGAGGGGGGCGAGAGTAATTCTGGAGATAGTGGGAATGTGCCAGTGGGGATGTGCCCAGTGTGTGGTCGTACGGACATTCCTCATGATGTCATCAATAGTCATGTAACTCTGTGTCTAGAAGAAGACGACCAGCAAGACCCAGCCTATTAAAAACACTCACATACAGCAAGAAGAAACTTTCTTACCACAAAATCATTTTATCCATCACACCATCTAATATCATCCACTGGTGTATAACATTCTCTGAAAACCGCCATGCCCTTGTACCATACAGTATCCTTATGACACGGTGTGCAGTTTGATATCAAGAGTAGGTCTGTACGAAACTGTATTAAGACTCTACATGATGGGGGGCACCTAGTGAGCCCGGAGGAGAAAACAGGGTAACCTAGAGGAGTGTCTGCTGCCTGAACAGTGAGGTTCCTGAGGAGCGAGGAGTGGGCCTGTATGCTGTGTCTCTCCTCATCATCGTTGGTGAGGTAGAGGAGCTCCAGCGATAGGTCGGCCCACACTCCCCTCACCGCTGCAGAGTTCAGCTGCCCTATGTGAACCACCTCGTCCTGTCGTGTCAGGACCAGAGCCGTGTAGCCGTCCTGAATATTCAGAACATATCATATCACGTGCATTGACATTGTGTGCCGACTCACATTTTCCTGCGATTTCCCTATGGAGAAGAGGTTTGGTGTTTGGTCCAGAACAGCACTGTTCCAGTCCGGTTCGCCCTCCCTACCGATGTGGCAGTGGTTTGTGTAGGTCTGCAGGTACTCGGAGAGCTCAGCACAGTCCTCAGCCTCACCTAGAGCTGCCTCGTCACACAGCAACTTTACTGCATATCTACAAAGTACACAAATCCCAGCACAACAACTAGCTTCCATCAACATACAGACAAGGCAGATTTGTACCTGTATGCTCGTAGTATGAGCTGATTCAAGGTTGGTCTTTGCATGAGCCAATTTCGATTTGTTGAGTAAGGGAGCTCCCCGCAAAAGCCGCTGTGAATGTGATGAGGTTTGGTTTTAGTTGTACTTTGATATGATTGCGGAACATCGGCGATGCTGTAACACATGAGACAGAGTCTCTTAAATGACAGTAATGACGGGGTGCCCCCCAAGAATGGCAATTGGTTGGAACTGATGAAACTCAGCCATTGAGTTGGAAACAAGGTGAGTTGTGTGCCTAGTTCATCCACTGTTAGTGGAAAATCCAGCCACTCAGCTGGATATGATAAGATCTCTCGAGAGGTGCTGTCTACTCCAGCAGTTGCCTGGTGGACCAGTTCCTGGGCTCTGGTGCTCAGTGGGATATCAACTGGTATCAGTCCAAACATTGAGTTGCCTTGGTCTCTGGCAGTACCAGTGTCACCAACACTCTCCAGACTAGTCCAGGAGTGTATTTCTCCTGTCTCTTCCGTCCCCTACTCTGTTTATTTCAGGTGGGTCCCTCTGGGGAAGAGAATCACCAGTCTCAGACTCTGTCACGGAACAATCTTGTTCCGTTTCCTCCACTTTACTCTCTGCTCCCTCCTCTCAACTTCACCGTCCCTTGTCCCCTCATTCAACCCTTCTCTGGGTGTTTGCTCACCCAGGTAGCAGTGTAGGACACACACAATACATTTGAGTAGGTTCCCAGAGAACCTCTCCAGAGCTCGTGGCTGGTCGATGACTCCAGTCAGAGAAATCCTGGAACTGGAGTATGTGCAGATCACTGCAGAGTCAACTGGCCTCATTGTGCTCAGTGGGTGACAGTTGAACCAAAAACCGAGTCTTCTTACGAGTATAAGCTTCTGAGAACATGTCGTCTATTTTCGAGGCCTCAACCGTGTGGCAAGATGTCTCTTCAATCTCCAAGCCCCTCAAGTTGATAATAAAGTAGCGATGGCCACACTCTAAAATACTGGCTATAATAGTGCGGTCCTGACACCTCAACAGGTAAAAGTCCCCAGGCTGCCCTCTGACTGATCCAGTAGAGAACACATTGAGCAAGGTCCTGGACAGAAGCGGCACATCATGTTGGTAATAGACGCTGTCTCTGGAGCTGGTGTAGGAGCTACTATAGTTAGTGAGACTCGGCCAGAATCGCTGGGTCCGAGGAAACGAAACTAGGAAGACGGGCAGCGTGAAGAGAGGGAGGAGAGGGGCGGAGATAAGAGAGGAGACTAGAGCTGTTAACACCAGTGAGAGGAGAAGTAGTGGGGATCCCACTGAGATTGCAATATAGACCCATCTCTGAATCTTTTTCCCGTCTTTTGTGAGAAACTTTAGAAAGAGTGTGAGCCCACACCAAAGTTTCTGGAGGAATTCGTGACCTATCTCCAGACCTAGTCCCACCAGGAGAGTCTGAAGCTCCACCCCTAACTCCACCCACCAATTACTGTTCTCCGGTAGAGCCAGTAGCAGTAGAGACACAACAGACACTTCTATCTGGGCTGACCATGTACTCTGCCACACCTACAGCACATGATGCAGAGCATAAGCTATTGCTGCATGTTGTCCTTCTTACTTTTCTGAATATTCTGGCTATTCCAAGAGCTCTAAACCACTGATTGGTAGCATTAAGATCAACACTCACAGTCAGAAATACAAGCATCAGTAATGGAAACACTGCAGAAAAGTCAATGTTCATAATACTCTCAGTTGAGAACATAGTTTGACAGACCATAAGTGAGGGCTAGCTGAGGCAGAATACTACAATAGCTAAGCCTCTTTCTCCACATCTTGTATCCCTGGATGTCCTCTGATGATTTCCACGGATGAAGAGGGTTTCTGAGCAGCCCCAGAACATAGATCCCCTGACAAACACCACTGATACTGAGGACAAGCCAGAGAGTAATCAGAATGGAACCCAAGACTCCACCAGCCACTGTCTTAGACCCCTCTCTTGCAGAGGAGCTGAAGTAGACCAGCAAAAGACTGATGAGCATTAGAACACTGCCCCTTAGAGATGACATGACAAGATGACGGGTGTGTGGTTTCCACTGTACTTTGGATGAAAGTCTCTTTGTCTTGAATAAGAGCCTGATTAGTGGGTTGATGATAGGGAAGAGGGAGAAGAGATCGTGACTGAGAAGATAGCCACTAGCAGAGGCCAGGAGGAGAGCAGCAGTAAAGTTGGAAAAGTGTGCCACTGTAGCCACCAAGACAGTTGATACCAGTGACAGCAAGAACATTATGCTAAGCCTGAAGCAAGTAGAGGAATATTGAGAGAAAGAATTGGTATATATGTTTACCTGAGGTCAGTGGACATTGGGGAGCCTCCCATGAGACGAGTCAGCAGCTGCTCCATGGCCCAGGGCAGCAGAGAATCCAGAGGAGGAAGACAACCAACCATCCAGCCCAGTGGGAGCAAACACACAGCCACATAGAGCAGTTGAACAGTCAGGTCTACTGTGGAAACATCTCTCACAGCCAACCTGGACAGAGAAAGAAAAATACATTGGGAAGGATTAGTTGCTGCTCAATGTGTATATCTCTCACCTGACAATAATGATAGCTAAGGCACAGGAGATCAAGTAGACAGCTCTGGTGAGAGGTCCCAACCCAAGCAGGTCTGTGGGTCTGTACATAGCCACCTCATGAGGATTGGAAATACTGAGAGAATAGTGTGAGTTGCAGAAGACCAGCCAGCCAATGGTACCCACTACCACAGATCCAGAGAGAGGTAGGTGGTCGGAGAGGACTCGAGGCAGAAGGGCGAGGGGGGCAGCAAAAGAGAGAAGGACACCCACGAAGAGGGAGTGGATTAGAACACAGACAAAATGCTTGGGGGAGAAGATAAATGAGAGAGAATTGTGGCTGCAGCATGATGTAATGTTGGCATCATCGTCGTCATCATCAAACTCCCTTTCTTGTCGATATCTTCTCATACTGCAGTAAACGCTCATTCTCACACTGACAACAGTGAGTGTGTGGATGAAAGCATAGATCACCGCTAAGTAGTACTCCCTCCATACTCCTAGAGCGTCTAGAACGATGAATGGGAGCGCCAGCGCTAGCGGGAAGAGATAGAGAGCGAGCTGTAGGAGGTTGAGGCGACATGGAGATTTCCGCAGTTTCAGTCCGCCTGTGGCCGTCCCCAGGAGCCGTCTCCAGGCCAGGGCGTGCTTGTAGCTGCTCAACAAAGGCACCACCGTCCGGTACTCTGCATCCCCCATGACTGCCTCGTGGGCGGCAAGCTCTTCTCACATTCATAAAACCGCCATCTTGTTTGTTTATCGGTAACCCTGACTGCAATGGAATGGGCGTGGCTGCTGACTGTGCACAAACAAGGTCAAGGTTCCGTGTGCGTGAGGACCAAGGCTCTGGCTCTCTCCCGTCTCTTTTGACGGTATATACATTAATGTGTGTTCTCACTGTGTTGCTTATGCAGCGAGTTTTCTTATTTTCAATTCGCATTTCTGTCTCTGCAGATGTGCGACAGTCGAGAATTCTGCCGCTCGTCACGTGACTCGACAATCGGGATCAACTTCGACGCCCTGGGCGACGTGGAACACTTCGAGCACGTCTCTGGCGACCTCTTCGACCTCTTCAAGTCGGGAGAGAACTCTGACGTGGTGTTTGTAGTGGGCGAGATGCGTTTCAAGGCCCACCGCATCATCCTAGCCGCCAGATGCAGCTATTTCAAGGTCCTCCTGTTCGGAGAGATGAGGGAGGCGAGGTCGGGGGCCGAAATTCCAATCGTGGACACGACCCCCGACGCATTTCATTCCCTCCTGGAGTATATCTACTCGGGGAGGATTTGCCTTGCTGATCTCAAGGAGGATGTGAGTGTGCCACCCTTCTATATGCTACCTCCCATCCCCACTTTTCTTCTGTAAACATTGAATCATTGATTAAAAAAACATGTTTGGCCTCAGGGCTTTCTCATCATAATAGTATATCCCATGCTGAAATATCTACTGAAGAACCATACTGTGCTACAGTTCTGCTCAAAAGATTGTTACTAGCTATACTCTCTTTCTCTTGTCCCCCCAGGTAATCCTGGACCTGCTGGGACTGGCCAACAAGTACGACTTTGCTCCGCTCCAGACCTCCATCATGGCGTTCCTGAGAGCCACACTCAACGTCACCAACGTCTGCCTCGTGTACAACGTGGCCAACTACTACCAGCTCCGCGACCTCTGCTTTGCCTGCAGCACCTTCGTTGACGGCCACGCCGCCGAGGTCATGAAATCAGACGGCTTTCTCTCGCTCTCTCTCTCGGCGCTCACCGAGCTATGCAACCGAGATTCGTTCTTTGCACCGGAGATAGACATCTACCGCGGGATAGTTCGCTGGGTCGGGCACAACGAGGTGGAGACTGAGGTTTCCCGCAGACTGCTGCAAGTCGTGCGGCTGCAGTTGATTCCAATGGAGCACCTCCTGGGAGAGATCCGGGGCTCGAAACTGTTTGATCCCGATCACATCCTGGACGCCATTGCCATGTGCACTACCAAACGCTCCATAGAGCTGAGACAGAGAGGCCTTCTGAGTGAGTCTGTCAACATACAGTTTACCCTATCTAACAGTAGTAGTTACTACTTAATGGCCTGGTAAAATTTCGCATGGTATTACAAAGTTTTGGCAGTTTGCTTGAATACATGAATATGACTACCCTTCTATACCTTCCCCCCTTCTTTCTCTGTTCTAGTTCCGGAGGAGAACATAGCTACCTCCCAGCATGACGCGGTGACGGTGGAGGGCCAGGTGAAGGATGCCCTCCTCAATGGAGACACTGAGAACTACAACGGAGAGCAGGGCTACACCACGCACACCATCAGTCTAGACAGCAGCAAGGGGATCACGGTCCAGCTCGGGCAGCCCTACCTCCTCAACTGCATCAGGATGCTCCTCTGGGACAGAGACAACCGCTCATACTCTTACTATGTACAGGTGAAGGTTTAGTTGCGTAAACTGTAGGACGAATGTAACGGTTGACAATTTAACTGAACTTCTAGTCGGCCACCTAATATATAGTTTCTAGACTCTTTCGCTCCTCTCCCTTCCCCCTATATCCCCCCCTCTCTCCCTTCCCCCTATATCTCCCCCTCTCTCTTCTCCACATAGTAACTCTACCGACTTCTTGACCTCTCCTCAGGTGTCACTGGACAAGGAGCACTGGGTGATGGTGGTGGATCGCACAGAGCACCTCTGTCGCTCCTGGCAGGAGCTCCTCTTCGACCCCATTGTTGTCAGGTCACCTGTATGTACGATATACCTAGCTCTTATTAAGACACTACTATAAGGAAATCATCAGTAAACCAGTATAATCATGCCTGCATTGCTAATTGTTTGCAGGTATGTGCGAGTGGTGGGTGTGTACAACTCGATGAACCGCAGTTTCCACCTGGTGTCCTTTGCCTGTCTCTACACATTCAAACCATTCAGACTCACCAATCGTGACATCATCGGTAAGACAACACCATCCACTACACCACATTACCTTCTTAAGCATGTCGCTACAGTCTCTGGAACTATCCATGCAATAAAGGTCGAACTTTGAAATGTACAGAGGTGTCCCCTAAAGTGTTCTATATATGGAGAGGTGTCCTTTATTTAGAGTGTCAATTATAAGAGCTTCCAAATGGGGATTGTAGCTGATTTTTTCTCTCTCTCTCTGTGTGTGTTCAGTTCCAGAGGAGAATGTAGCCAGTATAGCAGCCAGTGCGACAGTGTTGGACGGAGTCAGCCGGAGCAGGAACGCCCTCCTCAACGGCAGCACGAGAGATTACGATTGGGACTCCGGCTACACCTGCCACCAGTTGGGGTCAGGGTGCATCATGGTCCAGCTGGCCCAGTCGTACTGCATCAGCTCCATGAGGTATATAGACCATAGACAAGAGAGAATGGGAGAATGAACTACAATGGTATACGAACCGTCCGAGATCATGGAAGTTCTTTTTACAGGGGTTCATTTACTAATATGAACACTGCTAACTGATGTAGACACATTTGTGTAAAATCATGTACTCCCTCTACCCCACACTAGTAGCAACTGGCTACTGTAGAAACTTTTCACCCTTTTGCCACCCTGGTCAGATGTTTGTGTTTGAGGGTGAGCTCTAAATGGAATATATACCTCGTGCAGGATGTTGCTGTGGGACAGGGATGACAGGACCTATGGCTACTACATCGAGGTCTCCACCGACCAGAAGACATGGACGAAAGTAGTCGACAGATCTGAGGAGGCTTGTCGGTACCTAACTCCATATAATACACACCACGCAGCTTGTTTGTTGTGTGTGCATGGTGTTCTATAATTAGAGTCACTGAGTATGTGTAGTTTGCATGCTGTTATTATGTCAATGACTGTGTATGTATATAATACAGGTCGTGGCAGACTATAGAGTTTGAACAGCAGCCGGTGACTTTCATAAAGATAGTGGGGACAAAGAACACGGCCAACGAGGTGTTTCACGTGGTCCACTTCGAGTGTCCGGCGGCCCTCGATGTCCCCAGTTCCTCCCAGGACAACTCCACCTGCAAACACCAGCTGCAGCCTCAGTCAATGGACAATGATTGAGGAGACTCCACATCAGCAACTCAACACAACACTTAAACATTAATTCACCATCCCCTCGCTATTAGCTGGCTTCACTCACTTCACTTGCTGCTGCTGCATTCAGTGCAGCTCAATTTTAACCTCCGCAGAACGTGTGTCTCTCATCTGTTGTGCCGTTTTTTTTCTCAATTGGTGTACTATGTGATTTCATTGAAATTTGATACAGTGACTTGTGACATGAAGTATCCTGTGATCCAAGTAATACCTGTGAGCTCTAGCAGAATCAAAGTGACTGAATGAAACACTGCGTTGTTGTAGGACTACTATATATGATGGGAGAGAATGATGTGGCAATGCATTATACTTTCCTACTTAAGATGGGAGAAGAGTGAAGTGACAATACATGTGGCAATGTGTATAATGACTTTTGTCCAGGGAAGGGCCTTGCTTGTGTTTTGGCTGAATATTGTGACAGCCACAGTAGAGAGAAGCAAGGAGCAGTTTTTAGTACTACATCATATACCAGTGGTGCTGTTAGCTGTGATGAGTATCTTGACCTACTGCGAGTGGCTGTCAGGAGGAGGTACGGGCTCCTCCGGGTCAACCTTGAGTCGAAACAGTCTGCGAACACTCTGAGACAGAGACGGACGCTTCCCTCGAAATGCCTGCAGAAAAATGGAGACAAAAGTAGTGTTTGCTTCACAGAAAGACCCAGAAAGTGGGAAAGTATTGTTTTTAAAGGGAAAACATTGCGTGATTTGCTAGAAAATAACGACTTGTGTATAATGCAGTAATTACCCCACTCCCACCTGGCGAAAGGCTCTCATCTCAAACTGCGAAAAAATACACAAGTTCCCCCACTGTCATGGGACAATAATAATATATGCTTGAGGTTTGCCAAGGTACAATACAGGTATACAAGTATGTACGTACGTAGCTACCTGTTGGCTCTTGGTTGGTTGAGTGGCAGAGCTGAGAGAACCCTCGGCCGAGGACTCCACCTCTGACAGCAGCTCAAACACTCGGTCCTGCTGAGACTTGTCCAACGTCTGCCGATGGGAGAGAGAGAGAGAGACCACATACAATACAATCTATTAGTGCACTGGTTCATCAGCAGTCGGAAGGATTATGACGTATGATTTTAAACTTGAGAGCTGATGAGAAATGTAACTAATGACAAGATTAGGAGAGTGATATTACTCGGGACATTCGATGAGCATTCACATAGTTCCCGTGCTATGTTTGATACACTACTAATGCAGAGGCTCAGGTTCGTCCCTAACACAGAGAACAGGGGGTGGGGATCTGGTGTCAGGACCTTCTGTTGCGTGAGTCTGTCCAGCTCCTCGGCCTTGTCCAGTTGACCCTGCTCTCTGTACAGGTTACTGAGGTTCCGGAGAGTCGAGTTTACTGTAGGACTATATAGAGAGAGGGTGAGTGTAGTGGAGGAGGTGGGGAGAGGAGAGGGTGTGTGTGTGTGTGTCTCAAGATAGAGGTATGGAGTCCTACCTCTGGATTGGAGTGGACCTGAACCACCCTCCTGGTCCTCCGCCGACCAGGGGTCCCTGGGGTCAGACACATACTGTCACTTCTCTGGGCAGGAGGGAAAAATATGTTTTCTTCATTCTTGGGTTGACTGTACCAGATACTGAACCATTGTACTGAGCGCACAGGCATACACGAAAAAGCAGGAGTACACATTTTCTTACTTGGGAAGAAAATTTAACCGAGATTGGGAGAGTTACAGAATTGAACTGTTTCAGTCGTGTGTACCTTGGTGGTGATGCTGGTGTTCTCGGAGGAGGCGTTTGAGGACCCAGGCAGTGGAGTGAACTGGGGACTGGCCCGGGACTCCACCTGATCCTGGAGCCTCTCTCGTGTCCACTGAATCCAGGACCTGCGAGGGGAGGGAGGGAGGGAGGGAGGGAGGGAGGGAGAGGCCGCGTGAAACGGTCAGGAGGGTGGAAAAAAGAACGTTGGTGACAAACCTTCTTGTAGGTGGCCTCGGCTGCTCTGTACTTGCCTTGTTTCAGATAGCAATTTGCCTGGAAAAATAGACACACACACACACATGAAATTCCTACAGTTAGTCTGAACATATGGGAGGACTCACTAAGTGGTTGAGAGTCTTGGCAATGTTGGGATCATCAGGCCCCAGTTCTGTCTGATAGATCTCCAGTGCTCTCTGATAGTAATACTCAACCTACAACAACATTACATAATAAGTATGTCAATACTATAGAGTCAATTAGCTAAAACATGTAGCTAGGCAAGGTTCTTATGAGAGACGGCACTGAGTGGTTCCACAACTGACTTCAGCACAATTCCCTTCTAATGAATCAATGACGTCATCATTACCTCATCGTATTTGCCGAGGTGCTGGCAGAGGATGGCCAGGTTTGAGAACTGCTTCGCCACGTCAGGGTGGGTGGCACCCAGTAGCTGTGTGAGGTGGGGTAAGGGATAAGGGTATGTATATACGAGGACACACACAGAGGAGGGATAAGAGTACGAGGACACACACAGGAGGGATAAGGGTATGAGGACACAGAGGAGGGATAAGAGTACGAGGACACACACACAATATGCACACCTTTTGCCTGATCTCCAGGGCTTTCTTGCAGTAGGGTTCGGCAGTCTTGAAGTCTCCAATCTTCCCGTGGAGGACACTGAGGTTGTTGTAGTGGCGGCGACCGCTGGGTGCCCCAGTCCAAAGTGCTTCTCTCTGATGTCAAGAGTCTCGTGCAGACATTTGATGGCCTCCTTCATCTTCCCCTGTTCTCTGGGGGGTGGAGCAGAGAGGGAGGGGTTTCACTATAGGAGTTACTATTGCTATGTTATAACACTCTGTGTTTATGTATGCCATACACGATTTAAAAATTTTTCAAAGGGCACAATTTGAACGGTTTCCAAAGATAATCTGCAACTAACTACAGCGTACAGTTTGTGTACCTGTAGATCACAGCAAGGATGTTGAGCATCGCGGCCACGTCAGGGTCCTCACTGCCCTTCTTCTGTTTCAGCTCCAGCACTGCCTTCTTGCAGAATGGGACAGCTATCTCTGGCTTACCCTATGGTACAGTACATGTGTAGGGTTGAATGATAGATAGGTGAAGAAAAGAAAGTTAAAAGAAGCTACTGTATGCACATGCTTCAGTGTGTGTGCTCCATAATCGATGGAGCTCTAGAAGCAAAACTCAGGAGAGAGAGCAAGCACGTTAATGAGCATTTGGTGGTCTAATGGACGTTGGTAATTCAAGCAGCTGTCCCACGAGTATCCACTAACTGATGTGCTCTACAATCCAACATCAACATAAACACGATGAGTAGTGAATGCGAACACATGTTGCTGTAACCAAGCTAAGTGTAGTGTACAACTTTGAGGAATGAGCAACACATGTGGTTTAGACCACCCTAATCCTAAGCACTGCACACTCAAGATAATATTAGCTGGCCTGTCCTTCCCCCCACTTGCTTGCACAAAGTATGAGAGGTTGAGGCCACCACATTGTCTAAGGTCTAGTGAGCCCACCTGGTTGACGTACTGCAGAGCTAGGTGATGTAGGGTCTTGATGTTCTCAGGAACCTCGTAGTCAGACCTAGCACTGCTGCTTGTCCCTACTCCTCCACCTCCCAGACTGCCACTGGACCGAGAGTGAACCCCTGACAGAGAGACAAATAGAGATTGAGAAAGAGAGGATAAAACATGTGGTAGAGAGAATTTTTAGAGAGCTTCACGTTTACCAACAAGCATTATATGACAGACCACATTGTGTGCTATTAAGTTATACCGAAGACGGTGGAAATATTGGTGCAAATATCACAATATCGTACACACAACTTACCCTCTGCTTCCTCTTCTTGTACATCAATGTCCATTGAAGGACTCTGCTCCCTGGCTCCACGTTCATCCTGCACACACACACAGACACACAGACACACAGACACACAGACAGACACACACCATGCCAACAATGAATGAACGTGTACACACAAGACCACACGTTGCAACACAATATCATTTTCAACGTTGTCAATAACACCAACACTGCCTCTGTTTCCCCTCTCGACCATACTCACTGTTATATACTACCCTCCCTCCCTCTCCTTCCCTCTCTACCGACTCCCCCAGACCTTCTGGTTGGAGAGAGTAAACTCCAGTTGCTCCTTCTCCTCCCTGACTCTCGCCAGCTGTATCTCTGTCTCCTGCAGCAGTTGCTGGTGTTCGGCCAGCTCCTTCCTCAACCAGTTGTTCTCCGAGGCCAGTCTCTTCACCTGTGCCCTCAGCGTCTTCTTGTCTCCCTCCAGAGTGTTGACGTACTGTGCCATCATGTGCAACAGCTGCAATCGAGAAAGAGAAACACATTAAAGTGAAACCGCCGCTAAGTAAAGGACACTTACTTCTGCCCCATACCAATACATTGGTGTATAATTATTACCTCCGAATAAGGGGGCACCTCTTAAAAACCACTCTCATGTGTCCCTTATTCAGAGGTTTCAAAGGAGAGCGAGAAGAGTTAGTTTTTGTTTGTTCGTAAATAGAGAGGCTCTTGATCAAAACCTTGGCTGTGGCTAGCTCGACAGCTGCCCAATTTCTCTAATGGCAAGCGACACTACTCAGCAAGGAATATGGCTCTGTTCGTCAGCCACATTGACATAGATTGACTACCAAGTAAACTGAGCGTCCAGACCTTTAATGACCCTCTTCTCTCTCTCTCTCTCTTTTCCTGCCTGTCTGTCTCACCTTGGCCTCACTCATGCCGGCTCTCAGTAGATTCAGAGAATGACTGAGTGCATTCGTCTTTTCTGCCTTCACCTGCAGACCAAAGTCCTCGGGCACGTCCGCATCTCCCCAGCTCTTTTCACTCTCGACTGCGGTGGAGGAAAGAGAGACCAACTAGCAAAGAAGCGGGTTCGTTTCCTACCTGTGCTGGAGTCGAGGGAGGTCTTGGAGGTCTCGCCGCTGGCCCCCAGCGCCTCGAGAAGGACCTCGTGCTCGCTGTAGAGAGTCTCCAGGCCCCGCGAGAGGGTCATGGTGCTCTCCAGGAGAGCTCCCAGGTCCGCCGTGACTGTGCTTTCCGACGACGCAGACGAATCCATGAGTGCGGTTGGCTAGCTACGAGTGTAGTCTCTATAACATCCAGCCAATCAGATGCGCTAAGTCAGCAGTGAAGGAGAAAAGAGTTGTTTTTGTCGGCCCGCTAGCTAGCGGGCGCATTTATTAGAACAACGCTCCGCCAGAGCAGAGTCGGGCATGCGCAGTATACAATACAACATCAACAATATACACACCAACGGTTAGCATCTACTGTTCTTTTTCAGGTGATTGGGTTGAGGAACCGTTAGTCCCACCATGACCATCAGTCTTGCTAGCTGATGACATAGAGTCCTCTGTTGCTGCTGCTACTTGGGACACAGCTGGCAAGCTGTGAAATCTCTGCAGCCTTCGCTGTCTCAGTTCATCCACAGCGGCGGGCGAGCCCTCCCCGGGACCACCACTCCCTCCTTCTCCACCAGCAATACTAGCAGAGCTAGAATTAGTCTCTCCAACAGTGAAGAGCCCTCTCCTTTCTCCCTCCTCTCTCTCCTCTTCCTCTTCCTCTTCTCCCTCTTCTCTTTCTCTGCTCTTCTGTGGATCCAGCTGTCCGGCAGTGAAGCTGTATTCTCTCTGTCCCTTCAACAAGGGGCCTCGGAGGAGACGGAGGGGTTGACGAAGGGGCTGGATTAGCAGGGGGAGGGGGAGGGGCAGGTGACTGCTGTGAAGAGGCAGTGGGAGGAGGTCGGGAGTTAGGAACAGCAGTGGCAGGAGGATAGGGGTGCCCAGGAAATCCTGGTCCTGCTGCAACTCTGAAGAAACAGAATGACACACCAATACTGCATTACTAGAAATATTGGCAGCCGTTAACTTTACTATTAACTTTCGGTGATTAGCAAAAAAACAGCACTCCACAGGTTTTCCACTAAAATGTGCACTCAGTCATGTTTAGATGTTCGCTCCGTGAGTTTTGCTGATTGTAATATACTGCCAGTGCGATGAAATGGCAGATTTCTCCTAGATGTCACCATAATTGTATAATTATGGTGAGACTTTCTCTCACCCCATGTTGGTCATGACAGTGGAGTACTGCACCATCTGGGTGACCGCCGAGTCCAACAGTCTCTGGATATTCCTCAGAACTGCAATGCGAGCCTCGACGTTGGCCCTCTCCAATCCCTCCAGACTCCTCAGCTGGTCGTCTGTCAGACCAGCCAGTGATCCTCCTCCTCCCATTCCTCCTCCTGTGACAACCATGATGAGTAGGTCTAACCTTAGACTGTGTATATATACACCACACAGTGGATGTGCACCATTATTGCAGTTTTCACAGCTAAGACTGTAACATTCGCTATGTGAAAGGGCAACACTTCAATAGTTGGTTTGGCTTTTGTGAAACCTTGTTTGACAATGTGTTTGTTGGAAAATTTGAATGAAGTATATATATGCCTGACTCACCGAATGGTGGCTGCATCATAAAGGGTGGCATGGAGAAAGGGGTGAAGGCGGGAAACCCCGGCGGAAAGGGTGGAGGAGGGGGAGTGGTGTGAGGGTGTGCCGGCGGTGACATGGTGCCTTCTGATCTTCCTTCACCTCCGTTGTTAGCTCCTCCCTGGGCAGTATTATCTGTGAAAAACAAAAGAATGGTACATCGCTATGGGATACCTACATAGTGTTTTTGAGGTAGAAAATTTGGTTAATGGACTCATGATTGTGGGGTCAAAGGGGAAATTTATTTTCTCTGTCAAAAGTTTCCTTCATTTTAGACATTACACACCTCCGGCTCCTCCAGCTGCGGCAGCAGTGGGGGGCTGATTTTCGCGCCCCCTCAGCTGGGGGATTGGGGGGCGGAGCAGTCGGGGGGACCATCCCCGGAGGGGGGGCCCACATGTGAGGGTGAGGAGGGGGTGCCATCATTGGGTTGAAGAGACCAGGAGGAGCAGGGGGTACTCCTGGAGGTAGTCCACCTCTGACCCCAGGACCTTGCGGAGGTCCGTGCTGCTGCTGCTGCAGTCTTCTGTTCCTCCTCAGAGAGGCACTGTGGCTGAGCACATCCATTCTGAGAGAGAGAGAAACAGACAGACTCACTTAAACTCTTTCTCTAGTTCCCTCAAAACAAAGTAACACACAGTGAAAAGAGAGAGAAAGAGAGAGGGGGTGTAAGAAGGCGCCATTTGGGACAGCTGAGTATGCAACTTTTTGGAGAAACAGGGAGAAGTGTGAGGGAATGAACCCATGAACCCTCCGCGGTCTACAGTACCTGCAGGTGGGGCAGTTCTGCTGGCGTTGGAACCAGGAGCGGAGACAGCTGGTGTGGAAGATGTGTTTACACGGGAGTCTCTTGCAGCGCTGGAGCATGTCCTCTCTGCAGATGATGCAGACAGTGTTTGCCGCTCGCAGCTCCTCCTCGGTGGCATCAGGATACCTGGACAGAGGGTAGAGTGAGAGGGAGGAATAAGGACAGTCTCCTCGCGATAGAGACAAGAGACAACATACAGAGTGTTGAGGTTCCTGATGGCTTGGTGAGAGGACAGAACGTCGTTCACACTCTTCTGAAAGTGCCTGTAGTGAAAAAAACAAACAACTGTTGACCTCTTCCACTTTTCATGTCTTTGTAGAATAGCATCCCACCCACCAATGCACAAATAGAGCCTTCTCTCAGCTAGTAGCTTACTGCTGTACTAGAAATGCTGCCGTAATAGATAACACATGGCTGCCACAGAAAACCGGGTTAACTGCTCCCATAAGCTGGCTTTACAATGCAACACACTCTAGACTACTGACTACTGACTTGGCAGTGATGAAGATGCGCCGTGCGATGTGCAGAGGGATGAAGAGGATCCACATCATGAACAGCATGTAGCTCATGTACAGACACAGCTTCATAAATCCTGCACCAGTAACAGAGAGATCAACACTATCATTAATACACCACCACTTTACAGTGCTGCTGCAGTTACTGCAAAAGATCGAAAATTTGTTCACAGATAGGTAGGAATGATAAAATCCTTGCTCCCAAATTTTTTCACAGAACCTTCAAATTATCATTCTTCCTCAAAAATTTCCTACTGTTCACCCGACTCCTTCTCTTACCGACTCCAATGTCGACGTATCTCATGTAGATTGTCTTATTCTCCCAGGGGTCCTCGCTGCGCAGGTCGATAGAATGGAGGACGTAGTGGAGGAACGTATTGAGGCCCACCAGCAGCATTATGGTGTACTGCAGATAGGGAAAAAGAGTGCATTATTGCTTGGTACAAAACATTACTTGCAGCATACAATAGGTGCTCTGTATATTATATGTATGTATCACTAAGTACGGTAGTATAATACACTTAGATAATGGATGACACAGGTTATCCAGCATCATGCCTATACATTTGAGATTACCTCGAGACCAAAGACAATCTGAACGGAGGCTCCCTTTGTCCGGAGGCTGGCCCAGGAGTAGCGAATGTAGAGGAGATCAATGGCTGCCAGCAGGAAGAGGATTGAGACTGCACGGAGGTGGAACGTCCACGCAATGAGAGGACTTCGCTCCATCTGGGGAGAGGGGGAAAGAGGAGGAGGAGAAGGGGAGGGAGCGGAAAGAGGTAACAGTTAAAAGCCGTAAGTTAGAAGTAGCTGGAGTTAAGAAGAAGCTGGAGTTAAGATTGAACTTCAGAAACGGCAGAAGAAAGTAAGACAAGCGAGTAGAGGGGAGGGAAGATTAAGAAACGACCAGTAGGAACACAGTAGTGAGAAGGTAAGAGTCGAAGAGGGGTAATGTGGGAGAGATATGAAAACTATGTGTGGTGATCTTCTCACGTAGTTGATTCTCTCTTCAATGAGCCAGTGGAAGGCCTTGATCACAAAGAGGAAGGTGATGGTGGTCACGAAGCCAACCTGCATGTCCTCGTGGAACCCAGCCAGAAGAATGAACGTCTCCAGAACCATGTACCACGACTTCTCCACCAGATGCTGGGCAGGCAGAGAAAGGAGCGAGGGAGAGAGGGCGAAGGGAGAACAGCATGACAGGTGCACACACAGGTTATACATAAGTCTACGTACACACCTACCTCCACTTCTGCAGCTCTTAGAGTGCCAAAGAACAGGTTTTTGACGACAGTAGTTGTAACCCACAGCATCACTGCAGCCTGCACGTACAGTACCTGGAGGAAAGATAAGATAAATCTTGGCCCATTGTTTTTCCCGACAAAGGAGTCTAAATAGTGCGCACTGACAGCTACATACGGCCACGTGGGACTGACGCAGGTGTACTAGGAGGGCATTAGTCAGTGGTACGCACCCCTAGAGTCCTGTTGGAGTTGAGAAGGTAGACCAAAGTGGTGTAAAACTGCCGCTTCTGCGAGTACGCGTTGCCCACCACCAGCGCCGTCAGCGCCGACGTGGCCAGGGTAACCAGGACCATTGGCTTCATCTTTCCTCGACCAACCAGTGACAGTTACGGTACTCTCGTCTTTTCTTCAGGTTTTCGAGTTCGCTAGTGGGTTGTCTGGCCTTTTTGGACGCGGAAGATTCCCATTGGCCGGTCGCACATTTGGTGGGCGGAGTTTTAAAGGTCAAAGTCCGAGCACGTGTCGCTGCAAGAAAGCATGGCGTTCACGACAGAAGAGATTCTGAGCTACTTCACAACGACAGGCTCTAACCCGCTCACATCTCGCCTCCCGGAGAACATCGACATCCTGCCGACGCCGGGACGCGGGCTCTTCGTCCGCGGGAAAGAGGCGGCCGAGCGTCGGAGAGCGAGGGACTATTCCTTCGGACCCCGGGAAGTCCGAGACGACGAGGAACAACAGCTGCCAGGCCCCGGCTTCGGGGAGCCGGTCTACAATCTGGACAGGGCGGAAGACGTTGACGTAGACGAGGACTATTTCCAGCAGCTCTCGTTACGCTACGACGACGACGGAGCGTTTTATGGAGGAAGCGAGGCCGTTGTGTCGTTTTACGGACGCTACTCTTTCGCCAAGGACGACTCTCCGCACCTCCCCGTGACAGAACGGAGGGAGGAGGTTGTGCGTACGATTGAGTCGAATCAAGTGACCATAGTACAGGGTGCGACGGGGAGTGGGAAGAGCACGCTGGTGCCGCAGTATCTCCTGGAACACTACGCTGGAAACTGCAACACTGCAACATTGTCTGCACACAGCCTCGCAGGATAGCCACACGGAGTATTGCTCATTACGTGGCGCACACCAGAGGCTGGAACTTGGGCACTATAGTGGGCTACCAGATTTACAACGACAAGATGACCTCTGACGACACGCGACTGACCTTTGTCACCACTGGCGTTCTCCTGGAGAAGTTGATCGGGATGAAGAACATGAACGAGTACACTCACATCATTCTGGACGAGGTGAGGGGTTGACCCTACTCGTTGACGAGAGAGCACCATCTATTGGTGTAGGTACACGAGAGGAACCTTGAGACGGATCTTTGCCTACTTCTGGTCAGAAAACTCCTCAGAACCAACTCCAGACATGTCAAGGTACATATACGTATAGGCCATACTCCATATTGTATAGTTAGTTGTGGTAGAGCGTGGTCGCAGTGAAGAGAAGTGAACAATAATATTATGTAGTGGAAATTTTTCCAGCTCACATGAGGCTAAACTGCTCAACTTTACCAATAGCATCTGGTCCTCTGTCTCAGGTGGTGCTGATGTCAGCAACCTTGGAGAGCCGAGAGTACTCCCAGTATTTCAGGGTGCGGCTGCCGAGTCAGGCCACACCCACCCCCGCCCCCGTCCTCTCCGTTGATGGGAGGGTGTGGCCTGTCATGGAGTTCTACCTCGATGACCTCCGAGATTTCGGAGAGGTCTGTTTTACTGGGTGGCGGGAAACTTTTGGGATAAAACTTTAAAAGTGTGTGCGAAATTTTATGAGGTTGTAATCAGCAAAATTTTGAGGTTGCATTCAGCAGAAAATTTTCTTTTTAAGTAACCGAATTTCCTATCCCTCTAATGTTTCTTGCTGTACAGTAGACAAGAGAGATGGGTAGATGGGGTGGAGCTAGAGAGGTGGAGTTAGAGAGGTGTGTCTGTCTGTAGGTAGAGGGGCTGGTGGCTGACAACCCGCGAGTCAACCTGACCCAGAGACTGATGTGCAAAGCTCTCATCAACCACTTCAACCGGCTCGAGATGGAGGATCCCAGGTATATATATAATAATTATAATACACCTTCTTCTCCATCATTGTTCGTGAACCTCCCTCCTTCCCTGCCTCTCTCCTCTCCCTCGTCTGCAGTTACGGAAGAGGTGATTTCTTCAGAGGAACCGTCCTCTGTTTCCTCCCAGGGATGCCTGATATAAGGGACATGGAGAGGACACTCAAAGAAGACAACTTCGACGAAGTTCAGAGGTAGCGTGAAAATCTGAGTTCTTGTGAAGTGTAGCGGTTGGATTTCTTGTTCAGGCTGTCTATTCTTCCACTGCACTCATCCGTGTCACAAGAAGAGCAGTATAGAGTGTTCCTGGCTCCTCAGGATGGGACGAGAAAGGTATGTTTAGGTGATATCCTGCTATATTAGAGGGTCTTACCCATGTGTACGTTGTCATACACTCACTTACACAGGTCATCCTGGCTACCAATATTGCAGAGAGCTCCATCACCGTACCAGACATCAAGTATGGTGAGATTTCAGCCAAATTAGAAAATTTACTTGTTCCAAAAAAAGATTTTCAGCTATTTCAACCGAAAGAAGTTGAGAAAGTTCTTGTAGCTGTTGGAGCAAGTGCCTGTTGTGTCTCTCTCTCTCTCTGTGTGTATGTGCTGTGTTTAGTGGTGGATTTCTGCATGGTGAAGCAGCTGCTGACAGACCAGGAGACAGGGTTCGACCGACTGGTCACCACGTGGGCCTCCAAGGCTGCCCTCAAACAGAGGAAGGGGAGGGCGGGGCGAGTCTCTGCCGGCCGTTGCTACCGTCTCATCAAGAGAGAGTTCTTTAGGAAATACTGTCCCAACTACTCCGTCCCCGAGATGCAGGTGAGGGGAAGAGGGAGAGGGGTTGGTTGGAGCGAAACTCATTCTACAGCTCCCTCGATCACGCACCTGGTAGAATATTATTCTTAGCTGACCTGATGGTCATGCGGGAGAGAGGAAGAACCCAGTTTTGCCGGGAGTCAAACTCACGCGTTGCGACTGAGTTAAACTCCCGTACAAAAGTCTTCCCCAATCATACATACTGTCAGCAGTCTTGCCTTGAATCTGGCAACCTTGCACTGTGTCAGGTTTATTCTATATATTCCCGTTGCAGCGACGGAGCATCGAGCACCCGGTGCTCAAGACAAAGAAACTGGACATGGGCGAGCCGACGCAGATCCTCTCTCTCGCTCTCCAGCCTCCCAGCAAGGTGGACGTTGAGAAAGCCGTCACCAACCTCAAAGAGGTGTGTCAGTGCACTGCTAGTTTGCTATGTAAGGAGTAGGGGGACAGAAATTGCCTGATTTGGAGGCACAGAGACGACAAAATTGAGCCAGATAGAGACAGGGGCCGCTAAATATAGGCAGGATGGGGCAAAAGGTGCGAGACAGAAGTGAGATGGGATAGGGATTGCAGAATGAGGGGAGGCAACGAAATGAAGTGAAATAGAGACAAGGACCGAAAAATATCCTTCTGATCCCCTCAGCTTGGAGCGCTCACGGTCACCTGTGGGGGTGTGGTCAACCCGGCCGATGGAGACCTCACCTTCGTGGGCTCCCTCCTGGAGGCTCTTCCAATTAGTGCCCGCCTGGGGCGCCTCATTCTCTTGGGCCACGTGTTTGACTGCCTGGAGGAGACCGTTGTCATAGCAGCTGCCCTCAGCCAGAGGAGCATCTTCACTGGCCTCTTCAATAACGAAATGAAGGCATACAGGTATTGGTGGCTTCTTCTTCATGTGGCCGGCCCTTTTTGATGTGGGATGAGTGTGTGTGTACAGGAGTGGATATGTATGCATTTTTGATAGGTGGCCAGTGAAGTGATAGAGTTTCATCAGTGCTTAAGGGACGTTGCTTTGAATATGGGATTACTTAATAGCGCACATTAGCTGTTTCCTGATTTGCTTGCACATTGGTGTGTGTATACCAATTCCCCCGCCCAATGGAAGAACTTTCGAGGGTGGTCTGATGCACTGAATTATTCTCGCCGTATGGCAATGTAGGTCGAAGATTGGTTGGATGGAGAGGACCAGCAGTGACTGCATCGCAGTTCTATTTGCCTACAAGGTACCCCCTACCCACCTACCCACTCCCTTCTCCTTCCCCGCTCACCCTCTCCCCCTCTCCCCCTTCGCTCACTCCAACCAACCCTCTTCCCTTCCTCTGCTCTTTTCCTTCCTATCATACAATCTCTCCCCCTCTTCCCCTCACAACAGGAGTGGATAAGACTCCAGAAAGTGGGCTATTTCAGTACCAGCAAGCGGAAGGAGGCCAGCTGGTGCAGTGACAACATGCTCCATCTCAACGGACTGAAAGGGGTGGCGGACACAGTTCGCGACCTCTCGACCCGACTGGCTCGCTTCAGGATCCAGGTCCAGCGAGATCTGGCAAACACGTAATGTTTCTCTCCTCTCTCTCCCTTATTCCTCTACACACGGTCTCTCTCCCTCTCTCCTCCTCTCTCCCCCTTATTCCTCTACACACACAGTCTCTCTCTCTCTCCTCTCTCCCCCTTATTCCTCTACACAGTCTCTCTCCCTCTGTACTCCCTGCATGCATCATGTTTCTTACCCGTCATCTTGCAGAGAAATGAACAAGACAGATATCCTGATATTGAAGGTGAGTTGAACTTCAATGGAGCGTCTTATTGACAAAATGTGTGTGGTTAGCGCTATAATGATATTTTCAGGTGGTGCTGTGTGGAGCGTTCTACCCAAACTACTTCCGATGGGGAGTGGGGGACGAGGAGGTCAACCGACGATTGTTCTGTGGACACAACCACTGCACCACTGTCATGGTCAGCTCAGGATACTACCCAGTATACTATAGTATATTGTATCAGGGGACTTGGTCGGAAATTTACGGTACTTACCCCCTCCCCCCAGTTGGCAGGACTCCCAGCTAACGGCCCGAAGTACGCAGGAGACATCTGTACAATGTTCTCTGACTGTGTGGAACCCAGAGCTGATTTGCGAGGGAAAGCTCTTCACTTTGACGGCAGCAAGTATATATACTCCATATAGTCATTTTAATGTGTGCTATAAGTTTAGCATAGCCTGTAATTCTGTACTTTTGTACTCTGATGTGCTGCAAGCATTTCTCCTCTTCCTCCCTCCTTACCTCTAAACCCTACTGTCATCTCCCCCCTCCCCCTCCCCCCCCCACACGCCCTCTCCTCTCCTCTCCAGGGTGTTTGTGGAGTTTGAACAGAAGAAACAGAGGGGACGCCAGGCCGTGCTGGACTCAGTCCTCATTGCCCTGAAGAAACGCCAAATGAGAGAGCCTCTCGCCCTCTACATCGCTGAAAATATTCCCGAAACATTGAAATTTAGGTGAGACGAAAGTACCGATATGCAGTACATAATGGATGCATAACGTTGTGCCTAATTTGGTAAGTTGTATATACCTCTTGTGGTGGAAGCTGTATGCGTCTATTGTTTGGCCATTTGAAGGAAGTTTTAATGGGAGACTATGTATGTAGCTGTTGAACATGCCCTTATTTGTATCTAAAACGTAATCCATTCAGAGCGTGACAAGGAAACGTCAGTTTAATTGGTGGGGTTTTTTAGTCTATTTGTTCTCCTTGTGTCGGCCGTATGCACTACGCCTGAGCAAACTGTGTGAGTGTGTGAGTGTGTGTGTGTGATGTATCTCTCTCGCTCTCCCAGACCACCAGAGGAAACAGGAGAAGAAGTGCGTGAAGATTTCAGCTCCGACGTGGCGGAGATCAAACCAGTGAGGGAAAAACTCTCCAGAACCCCCTCTCCCCCACCTCACACACACAACTCTATTGACACCAAAGTTTGGCTTTCAAATGCATGAGAATGTGTGTGTTTGAGACATTCTGAAAGCAAGTGCGTTTGAAATGTTAGAGCGCATGTGTCAAGCAAATCAGTTCTCTTCAACACTTGTCCCCCCCCCCTGCCTGCAGGCAGAGATACCTCGCAGTGGAGAGCTAAAGGTGATGGTCACTGATGTAGTGGATGCCGGTCATTTCTGGGTCCGGCGCTGCGACAGAGACACAACGAGAGTCCTGCGCGACGTCATGTCCTCCATCGCCAACCGCACCCTCCTCCCGCTCACGGGGGACTACCTCAAGTTCCAGGGAACGTTCTGTCTGGCCATGTTCACCAGTGACGGACTCTACTATCGAGCCAGGATCGACTCCATCAACATGTCTCACAACTGCGCCACTGTGAGAAATGGGGAAATTGTTTAGAGCCCCTGTAATTAGGACTGTAGGTAGCAGCAATTTAGCATAAAGTAGCACTGGTGTCTTATACATATTTTCCCATGATGCAAGCTGTCATAATCGAATTGGAATAGCTGTCTGATTGCTCCCATTGAAAAGTCTTGTCCTGTCCTAATACCGTGTGCTGAAACTCTGTCCTAACATTCTGTCCTGAAACCCTGTCCTATAACCACCGCAGGTGACATTTGTGGACTACGGGAACACGCAGACAGTGTCTCTGGCGTCTCTCACACGACTGCTCCCGCGCGAGTGCCAGCTCCCGGCACAGGCCCTGGAGTGTTACCTGACCTGTGTGAGGCCGGCCCCCGCCCACTCCACCGAGGGCTCCGCCTGGGCGGACACCGCCAACGCCTACTTTGATGAGCTGGTACGGGAGAAGAGACTAGTGGCCAAGGTTAGTAGATTACACTAGAGAGGAGGGGAGATGGAAGAAGAAGGACAGCGGCAGTGTAGAAAGGAAAAGGCAATGTGTTAGTATCCCTTTGTGAATTGGTATGTTTAGTCAGACTGCCGAAATTGAAATTGAATATCAAACTTCCTTGTTGATGTAACCTCACTACAATACACACACTGTAGTACTATGACCACAGTCTCTGTAGTTCTAGGTAAGTGTCTTCCTGCTCCGTAATAATGTGCCCAGGTGTTCTCTCGTGTGACTGACACACTGAGGGTGGAGCTCTACGACCGAAACAGGAGAGACGACGTCAGCATCAATGAGATAATGGTGTTGGAAGGTTATGCCACCAAGTGCGAAGAACCCTACCTCTCAAAGGTTATGGCATAATGCTCTCTCTCTCTCTCTCTCTCTCTCTCTCTCCCCCTCCCTCTCTCTCTCTTCCCACTTCTGTTCATACTTCCTCTCTTTTTTTGGCTGTTGATATATGTTAATGGTAAAAAAAGGACCAAGAAAGTCTTGGATAAAGCGATAAAGCTCAAATTTTTTTCTTTTGAGCGTGTTTTTGCTGCTGCTTCTACTTGCCCCTCCTGTCTCTTCCCCTTTGCTCCCCCCCCCCCTCTTCTGCAGATAGCGTTTGCGCAGATACGTGCCCAAGAGAAGGCGGAGCAGGCAGCGAGTCACATGACCGCCCACCTGGAAACGGAGGGGGAGGAGCATACTCCAAACCCCTCGCCCCCCTCACATCCCCCTCCTACCAAGTCGTCGCCTGGGTTACCAATTCTGTGCGTCGGGGCACCAGTAGCCGCGTCAACAGATCTGCTCGCAAGGTTGTGTATAATTACATAATATTGCAAAACTTAAAAACCTTCCAGACCCACCCTATGTGTTTCTTCCAGAGTATGTGCAGAATCTAAGTTCCTAAGTTTGTTGTAAAGAAACCTGAATGGGTTTTTCTCATAGTATGGTTTCCTATATGCTCCCTGGGCATGACCTGTGTGTGAGAAGGGGCTGATTCAGGCTGACCACTCCAGGAAGGGGCCAGGACAGTGGTTTTGAGTCCAGATAATGAGATTCTTTACTGAATGATGTCATGCACAGCCACCACAATGAAATTGGTGCTTGTGGTTGGAGTGAGACCTTTTTGCTTTCATCAGTTGCTGTGGCTACCTCGACTTCCTCGTGTTGTGATTGTCGCTTCCTCTTCCACTTGACACCTCTGAGGGTGTTCCTCTCTTCCTCATGTCCTGGAGTCAGCTTCTTCCTTTTTCATATAAACTTTCCATTTTCTATATATCCGTACAAACATCTAAAAACTAACTTTGTCCAGATGTGAGAGTTTCACTCACTGCTGGTGACCGCTGTAGACCGCTGTAGAAACTGTTCTCTATTGAAAACTGAAGATAAAAAACTTCCTTTCTGTTTCCTCTTCTCGCCAACATGATGCTTTGCTCTTCTCTTTTCCTTCCCCTTCCTCCCTCACCTATATACCTACCTACAGATAAACCTGAAGGGACCGTCCTCTCCGTATGAGGTCAAGTTCTACTGCATGACCAACGTGGGTTCCCTCCGTCCGTCCCACACGGAGAGAGACTCGGTCAACTCCGTTGTCGTGGACCCGGAGCCCCAGACCAAGCACGAGAAGATGATGGTGGCTGCCAACGTGGCTCTGAGCCCCTCGGGGACTACCACTCTGGCGAGGGAGACCACACTCATGCCCAGCATCCTGGGTCTTCCCTACCTCATGTGTCTATTGTTTGCCCCCTCTGCCGAAATGAGGTGGGGTTCCTGTGTGACTTTTGTTTGCCCCCTCTGCCGAAATGAGGTGGGGTTCCTGTGTGACTTTTGTTTGCCCCCCTCTGCCGAAATGAGGTGGGGTTCCTGTGTGTCTATTGTTTGCCCCCCTCTGCCGAAATGAGGTGGGGTTCCTGTGTGTCTATTGTTTGCTCCCTCTGCCGAAATGAGGTGGGGTTCCTGTGTGTCTATTGTTTGCCCCCCACAGGTGTGACGTCAAGAAGCGGCGCTACGTGGGAGCAATCTGTGGGCTGGGTTCAGACCCCATCACCGGACAGAGCCTCCACCGCGATCACGACATTGAGCTCGTCTTCGACGCCCTCATCTCTCAGGAAGACCTCGGAATAGTGAGAGAGTATATATATACATGGGGCCTTGTCGTATGAGTGTGGACTGTAGTGTAACTAATTTTTCCGTGGACAAACAGAGACCGTTTGTGTTAGTCTCACTTGAGAGTGGTTTACTTACATAAAACCAACACTGTCTGCTCCACTGCACTTTGTGTGTTTATACTGCCCTTATAAGGCAAATGCAATGCTATGTAGATAGCGGTGCTTGTCCCAAGGTTAGTGATTGGGTATGTAAAAACTTTCATTGTTTTTGTCCGTGTGGTGCTACATGCAGGTCAACTGTGTGCGGTCCTGTATGAACATCATGCTGTCCACGGACCCCAGCGAGAGGGACGTGGTCGCCTGGGGAACCGATGCCGTGAGAAAGATACAGAGAGAGGCCAGATATAAACTACTGGAGTGAGTCTCTTTCTCCCTTTCTTTCTAGTTCAAATTCTAAGATTTTCACTTTTTACTCTGATCTACATGTTCATACCTTCTGTATGGTCAGAAATTTTCTCACGTGGATTTCTTTGTACAAACATTCTTCAGCTTGAAATACTGCATGTGTATGAATGAATGTGTGTGTGTGTGTGTTAGTGGTTATACAGTGGGCTGTGGTGTGTGGTTTGTTTGCAGTCAGAAGGGGGCATTCACACGAAGTGACAATGAACATGAAAGTCACAACAATCTGTACAACTGACTGAGGTCCAGTTGTCTGTTGGTGGTGTGCCAAACAATGAATATGTCATGCACTCCAGATCAGGACACCACGTGTATGAATCACACGTCAGGATAAAGAACTCGGGATTTATAATATGACTGCAGTCTTTCTCTCTCACCTGGCACAGGTTGCTGAAACGTGAGAGAGAGCCGGCCAACCCGTACTCCACACCCAAGAGAGGCTGGAACCAGGTGTCGCCGGGAGACGTCCTGTTGCCACAGCAACCGTCGGCGGGGGCAACCCCGGGAGACGGTGTGGAGGAGGAGGAGGGTCCGGACATCCTCGTCCCCTTCCCCCTCCTCAGCGGGATAGCTCTCTCGGGGATGAGACCCAGAGAGGTCAAGGGGCAAGGCAGAATGAGCATTGGAGAACTAAGAGAGGCAATGAGAGAGCTTCACTCCAAGGCATCCAAGTAAGCTTTTCCCCTCTCCCCTCATTTTACACATCCCTGTTCTTGCCTTCTCTCTCTCCCTCTCTTCCTTCCACACACTCCTGTTTCTAGTTTTCTTGCGTCCATTTTTACTTATTCTGCTCCCCTGACCCCCACTCTCTTCTGTAATATTATATTCACACCTACAAACCCCACGTGGTTGTTGGTGGCTCCGTGTTCCTTACCTCCCTGTGTGTCCCCCTGAAGGTCTGAAATACCGGAAACCCTGGTGTGTGTGTTGTGTGAGGCGACTGGACTCAGTTTCTCGACACCGCGAGAGCTGCTGGACCACATCCACGGCAAGTCCCACATGGTAAGAGAGAGAAAACTGTGGGACGACGGACTGGCACCCAGTATCGTATCCGAGCTCCATGCCACACCAAACCAACAGTAATATCCTGTCACCACTACAATATCTACTTTTGCCTTTTTCTTTTTTTCCTCTGTATACATTAGTCCAACAGATGCGATTCATACATTTTTTCGTTAAACTTTCATTATCTATAATATATACCGTCTCACCAATCATCCATCATCATCATCATCAGATTTCGTCAATGACTGCGTGCGGAAGCCGCCGCGCGGTGTGTTTACACCGCGTGCGTTAGCTTTGCGCTTTGATGGCCGCCGCCCTATAAAGGCTGACGGAAAAAGCGCGTGGAAGGTTTATACTTCCACTTCTAAACCAGGGCAGGTATATATTCTATCTTATCTGGCGGATCGCTCAGTCAACTTACTATGGCCGCAGTTATGGCAGAGTACGCCACACTAAGCGAGGCTCTACCTAGACAGCAGCTGCCGTCCCCTCCCTCCAGACCCAGCGACGCAGCTGCCGAGCCAATGGCCGCCTCCAAGCAGTACCGAGTCAAGAACGTCGACATGAAGGGAAGAATCATACACGTCGGGTTCCTCGAGGTCTCGGAGATCGGCGTCACGTTCAGTTTCGAGCACTACCCGGCAGAGGCCATCCACTGGCCGCTCAACTGCATCAGACGCTACGGAGTGAACGCAGTCACTGGCGTTCTCGCACTGGAGGTCGGGCGGCGCGCACCCACGGGCGAGGGGCACTTCGGTTTCCGAGCGGACGAGGCGGACGAGATCTGCACCGTGTTGGACCACTTTACCAGCTCCAGCGGTCGCCTGTGGCAGGTCTAGACCGGCGCGACTCTTCCTTCTCCGTCCCTAGTTCGTGTGTCGTTGCGTAACGTGTGTCGTCCGTGTTCGTTTCTCGTGTTTGTGTGGAGCGGGCCCCACACCACTGGCCCGCTACGTACTCCGTGGTGTGTTCGACCCTTGTTTTGTCAACCTTACTGTTTACCAACAAAGCCCACTCACTTCACCCAGAGTTGTTTTTCGTTTTCTTGAATAGCCACAGGAAAAATTATGTTGCATTGCAATAACATGTATTGTTGAAAATTTTAAAAATAATCCAAAATCATTGAAACATGATAACTGGTAGTGGGTTTGGCTGTTGACTGGCTTCTAGTGTGTTGTAAAGGGCATATCATAGCATATGCTGTGGTATCTGGGTTTGTATTTACTGATATGTGCATGTCCTTGTAGATAAAATAAACAATTGAGTTGGGAACCAGTAGATTGAAAGTGGAATGCAGGAAGTAGCATTTGTGATATACAGCTCATATTGAAAACAGACTTCAGTGTATTCACACCAGCACTAGGATGTAATTTGCACAGTGAACTAGCGACAAACCACATAAATGGGCTGCTAATGTGAACACTGCTGTTTCTTCCACATCAAACTACACTGCTTACAATAGTACTGGTATTTCCCAAGACTGCATTGGTTGTGTTACTTGATAGGCAATCAGAGAAGGGATCACCTTTTCCGCCTTTACCAGCTAGGGGTATGTATGGAACCGAAAGTGCAGGCCTATCCGGGGAAGGCCTACATGATTGAAGGGTCATGTCTCCAGTTTTAGAAGGTAATACGTTGTAGGGAGTGTCGGGTGTTGTCTGTCACCTGTTCCCATCCCTCTTGGCAGCCACTCCACCAGTGAAAGATCCATGCTACAATACGAGGACTAAACAGCAACTGTTGCCCCAGAACTGTGCTCATCCAATGGGCTCTGTTTGTTTGCTCCCTCTTAAATGTGCAATAAACAGGAATGCTGCCTGTGTTGAGCAAGACCCAGCTGGCTTTTGGACATAGGCTAGAGTTAGTGTGTAACTGGAGGACCCTAAGTGGGGTTTCAGGACTTATAAATTGATGGAGATCTGATGTGGATGGTGTAATGTTCTTAGAGAAAGTAGCTCACATGTTGTGCACTCTCACTACTATTGTGCCTCCCATTAGCTTAGCTTGACTTGTAGCAATATGTAACATGTAAGTACATTGGAAGGGAATTATTGCTTTGCTGGTGCATGGGGCCAGAGGTGTTCCAAATATGGTTAGTGTCCTGGCTTTCTGGACACTGGAAGCACATGGTGTGGAGAAGATGGTCCAGTATTTATTTGCCTCTAAAGGCGAGCATTGTGATGTTCAAGGAAGAAGCTGTGACCTCAAGTAACTGTTGCTTGCTTTGAAGCCCATTATTTCCCACCAATTACAATACCTCATCCTGTATGTATATACACCTCACACCAACTGCAGGAAAGTTTTGACAGCCTTCTATGATCTTGCTAGTCTCACCTATGATCTTGCTATGATCTTGCTAGTCTCACAGACTGTTGATACAGTGGCTGGTCTCTCACTACCTGCTTATCACCTTATCACTGCTTATCACTGGTGGACATTCCCAGCATTTTTCACCTCCCTACACCCACCCTATTTCCTCAAACCACAAGAGAAAGGTGGGTCCATCCACAACCCCTTGCACCCTTCTGTGGAGACCTCATTACAGACATCTAAAATGGCATTCCTTGTTGCCCTGTGCCAAATTGAATGTGTGCATAGACCTTAAAAAGTGTGATGAAAATTACATCTTTGGAGTCTACCTGATGCACCACCCTTCAGTATATCGAACTCAGCTGGCTTGCTCTCTGCAAGTGGTCTTCGTGCAAAATATTTTGGAATTGTATTTGAATGCTCCAAGATGGACCGCATCTCTAGCTCTCAGATGAAGGGAAACTGAGGCCATGCTGTAGAGGTGTTGATCCATATTACATTAGTTGTCACTAATAGCAAAATATTATCAATCAGTGCCAGCATGTACATAAGTGGTTGCATTAGCAAACAGTGTGGCCAGCCACCCATCTCCCTGTAATGAAGTTAGAAAACAAACTCCTGTAGCTAGTACAACCACTGTAATATTATACACTGTAGATTATACTGGTAATGCCCTAGAGGAATTTTTAAGAATGAATGTGGTTTGTGAGTGCATTCCACAATTGGTGAGTGGGAAGGAAAAGTCTTTGATGTTCTGACCCAGCCCTCACTAGTATGCCATCATCCACACCCAGTATATTATTAGTAGAAGATAGATATTTTTTAGAACTGTTAGATGCTGTGTTCAGTCCCAGTGGGATTTGCAGCCTCCAAACTGCACAGGTATCATTAGTTGTGGCTGTTGAAAGATTAGCTGTGGTTGACCCTCAGTCTGAGATCCACTTAGTGCTGAATACACCAGTAGTCTAGAAGACTGCTGCTGACATCATTGTGTCGGTGCATAGTCATACAGACTTTAAAAGAGCCATCCAAATGTACACCGCAGCTTTACAGCAAGCTTTGCAAGATTACTGCCCCTGGGGAGCTAGAATATACTACATAGACTGTCATGGGGAACTGTCTCCCAAGGTTACTAGTGAAAGAGACACTGCTGTGCCTATTAAGGCCTACGCTACTCCTTTCACATGCAGGGAGAAATCTCCCTGGGTTACTATGACCAAGACACTGCTATGTGCCAGTACTGCATGTGAATTGAATTCATTGAAGTTGTGGAACAAGTTGATTAGATGGCCACATCAAAAGGGGTGGGTGCTACAATTTGAAAGCATGCAAATCACCCAACCACAGTACCTCATAAACCCCTTCACTTGCACCTTATTTGACAACCACTTCAAAGAAATGGCCCATGAAACTTTTCTCTACTGCGTGCAGTTTCTCAGAGTTTGTATGCCTCCAGTCTCAGTGTGTGCTCTGGCCTGTAGCTGTGTACATTCAGCATTGCTGGACTGCTGGTGCTGTTGGCAGCTCAACGTGCAATTTATGTGAGACAAGAAGCCCATCCCGTTGCTGCAATGTTTACATACACTTATAAACCTAAGCACCAACAGATACAAACGCACACACACAACTGAACACATGCAACTGGGCTCTAAAGCACAGTTATTGCAGTCTTCCTCCCACTTCATGGCCTACGACTTGCCTTAAATATAGACACATGCACACATACATAGGGATATTTAACTGCATGAAGTTGCACATGCTAATAGGCATCAGGAAGTTGGTGCATACACTGTGCCTCCTTCCTATGCAGAAGAAAGCTTCAATACAGGTATATACTCAGTATGGTCTCTATAAACATAGAAACATGAATAATCACACAACGCGCGCATGCGCGCGCTTCTGCCAGTGCGCGTGCGTGGGACCATGGTGGCGTATCCAGCCCCTCCCCCTTCGGGTGTGCATATGCGCGAAGCGAGCGCGATGTAGCCATTCGCGCGCGCTCGCTCGCCGCGAATGTGAGTGCGCATGCCCCTGTGCAAGTCAGTCGCATAACACATTCGAGAATACAGTAGACAAGAGTCCAAAAAAATCTTCAGTGTCACAATCCAGGGATGTTTGTTTGGCGAGCGGCAGGCTCGCACATTGTATTGAAAAAGCCACACTGCCAGCCATTGTCTCCCTTGGTCCCGAGGCAGATGAAACAGAACTGGACACCACAGCGACACACCATGTGCTTGCACTGGGCAACATGCTCGATGAGCATGCCACACTGCGGGCAGGCACGGCAGCTAGGTGTTTTCACCCCAACAACGTATTTCTCCTTGGTTTCTCGAAGGATGCGCAGGCGATGATCTTCGTTACTGCACTCCTCGTTTCCACACTTGGTGGTCCCGGAATCTCTCCACTCGTGGAGACAATGCCAGCAGAAATCGAAACGACGGCCCTTCTCCTTGGAGCAAAGGCGACAGGTCAGACGTTTGTCTTTGGGATTGATTCTTTCGCAGAGGCTCTGACAACCAGGACATTCTTGGATCCCCATTGCCTTCTTCAGGTAGTTTTCGGAAATCCTTGTCTCGAACTCTTTCTGTTCGTCTTTCGATAGCACACCGAAACGACGGACTTCAATGTAGCTCCATTCCTTGTTGCACCGGATGGTGGCGTTGTCCGGGTCGACGTAAGGGCAGAGGAAGATGAATTTTCCGGCGGTGAGCAGGCTGCGGCAGTAAGTGGTGAGTGAATCAGGTGCAATGGCATGACCACACGGCATCTTTGGCTCTCTTTCCCTCTGGATCATCATCCCAGGTGATCATGTCTGGTTCACTTGTCAGATCAACCAAGTCATCAAGCTCCTTTGTTGGTGGTGGCTCATCAAAACCTACCCAACAGATGGGGACACATTGAGTGCACGTACAAACACATGGATAATTCTCACCTCCCAAGAGCCTCATCACCATGAACAGGTTGGAGCCATGCAGAATAGACGGATAGTCACTGATCCGTTTCTCCTGCCTTTGCACCAATTCCTTGCCAGCGTGAATCAAGCGCGACTCTGCTGGAGGAATGCCCGTTTTCTTCTCCAGAAGAACAAACAGCTCGTCGATTGTAGCGTCCTGCGAAATATATAGAAGCTCTAGCAGTGCAAGACGTCGCACCATTCTGCAACTTACTTTGTGCACGATGATGGACATATTTTCGCCTTTTATACCCTTGATGAACAGTTGATACTTCGTCGTCCCGATTTCTCCAGACATTTTGAAGACGGTCACGCTGGAAAATAGAGAAGGAAGACAACGAAGTCAGGGTCATTCCCTGGGACAACCCCACTATAATGACGTATTGATAGCGAGCGCTCTCCTCTCTCCTCTTGATCTTGCATCGTTAGCGCATGCGCATCTCGCGTCGAAAAAATGGCGTCTGGCGATCAGGCTGTTTCTTTGAGAAGGTAGGTATATACACCTCTGCGTTAGACTTCACTGTAGATCACAGAACACAGAGAGGTATGTAGTATGTCTACAGACAACTCTGATATCTCCGTATCCAGACTGAAAAAGGAGTACCAAAAATTGAGTAAGAGCCCGCCTGCCGGCGTGGCCGTCAGTTTGCCGTCTGATACTGATATGTACGTCTGGGAAGCCCTTTTGAACGGACCTGATGATTCCGTCTACAAGGGTTCGTGTATTCAATCACTTGTTGTAACTCCTATCTTTGCTCTGTTTGTAGGTGGAGTTTTCAAAGCAAGAGTATGTGTTCCGTATCCCAATTTTACCTACTAAATATTGTGTATTTCAGACTTTCAGAGCAAGCATACCACTTAACTACTAACAATTCAGTGTGAATTATCCAGTCAAGCCACCTGAGGTAGTCTACATTATAATGCATATACAATATCAACAGTAATGGTACATATTCACGATATCGTTGCATTCCAGGTACACTTTGTTGCTCCGTTTCCCTACCACCTGAATGTGAGTCAGAGCTCGGGGCAAGTGTGTCTGGGTCTGCTGGGAGTCGACAAGTGGGAGCCATCCTACATGGGAATGGAGCACATCCTCCAGGCCCTGGTGGCTATCCTCATCCGCCCTGAGCCTTCCAGTGCTATGGACCACGAGCTCCTCAACAACTACCACAACTTCTCCTATAGGTACAGCGTTGAGGCTCAGAAGAGTGCATCGAATGCTGCCAAGACTTTCAAGAAGTAATCTTTTGAACCTCTGCTGTTAGTGTGTCCAATTTTCATTGTATCCATATACATAATTATTTTACTACACGACAATAGATTGATGATCATGAAGGTATAATAAAATAAACAAAGAACGGACGTACAAGCACACACCGCAAAAAAAAACAAGGAGAATCAACAACATTTACTCTTCTGAGGTGTTTGTTGCTGCGGTTTCCAAGGGACGACACCTGTGATTCTCCTCCCCGTGTGCTGGTAGGAATCTCCAGCAATGGAGGCCAGCTGTCCGGTAGTCTCTGGTTCTGCAGCCAGATCGACGTAGTCCTCCGGGAGTCCGTCAACCTTCAGTGACGACAGCTCCATTATCTTGCACACCAGCAGGTTCATTGCCTCCTCTGATAGCATTTGATACGAGGTTTATGATGCATGACTAATGTTATAGTGATCGTTCTAGAATAATGAGGCCTATACTCTTGAGTAGGTAGTGGGAGTCTATAACATGTCCTCATGAAATGGGATGTCCTGCAGTCAATTTATGAGAGGCTTTGGAATGTCAAGCTTTGATGTTGCGTGTTCATTTGGCTAATCGCCACAAAATATCTTAAAGGGTGCAACAGTTCTGGTGTGCCTGCATAAGATTGCAGCAAATTGTACAGCCAGGGCATGTCGATTATGTCACGGCACCACACATTGTACAATATGCTGTAAAGTGGTAAATGAAGGAGCATGCAGATTCCCTCTGGGGTAATTATATTATGGAATCCAACCAGTGGATATAGGAGATTTTTGAGGTTCAGTAAAAATACCCAACCTGTCGCCATACCTATGTTTTTGTTCTCTTTTGCTGAAGTGGCGAACCTGCACAAATAAAGATAGATCGCATGCCGTGTTTTACGTTGCCAAGGTGCATGTATCAAAATTCACACTGTATAACTTCCTAAATAGCACTAAAGTGAGTGAGCATGGGCAAGAGTGTGCCATATTTCAGTGGGTTAGGAGTATTTCGCTCAGTGCAGTGCCATCTGTAATATAGAACAGTTGCTCAATTCAGACAACACCAATCATAACCCTTGCCCTATTTACAGTTGGCTAACACTGCCAAAAAGCACTGCTAGTATGAGATGGCCCCATTTACATTACAGAATTCACACAAGTGTAATATTGCTGCTGTTGCACCTATATTAGGACCCCTAGCTCACCATGCTGTGATGCCGTGTGTCTTGCAGAAAGCATCTAGAGTTGCCTGGTCCACCTGGTGGTCGTCCAAGTCACACTGTAGCATGGGAAACAAACATTTCCCAATACTGACAGTCTTCCTACACCCTGCTCATCAACCATCATGTCCACTTGTTCGTAATCATGCGGAACTTCTGTTTAATAGCGCTACTGTATACCTTGTTGGCTAGGAGGATGATTGGTATAGAGCTTCCATTCTCCAGCATTACCTTTTGGTTGACATCGTCCAGCCACTGTGGGGAGCGGGGTAGGGCACTGTCAATACCAGCACTACTAGAGCATGGCACAGTTTGTTATGGTCGGTGGCTTATTGCAGTATGGACCGAGCCCACTCAATACAAATGAATTTAGTACTATATACAAACATACCTTTAGAACGGATTCAAAGGTTGCTAATCTAGGAAAGAGACAGAGTGAATTCATCTGACACACCGACAGGTAATAAATAAATAGTGTATGCATACCTCTTTATATCAAATACTATGATAGCTGCAATCCTGTGTGGGAAGAGAGGAAGATAAGTTTATTACGTTTCAATTTTGGCGAAAATATGAATAATTCTTCCAGCTGAAGGCAAGGAATGGGTTTGTAGTCAAATTCAGCAAAGTGCAAGACTGAGTTAGCGGAAGGCAAGGGGGGTTCTGTGGAAGCAAGACTAAGACTAACACTTACGCATATTTGTAGTAGACTCTGGTCATGTGGTTGAACCTTTCATGGCCAGCAATGTCCCTGTGAACAAGGCAGGGCACTATAGTGATATATACTCACACACAAATGGCAGAGCTCAACAAAACCCCAATGTGCTAGCTTCTGCACTACTCTTGCATCATTCCATGTATTGTACTAACACTGACTGCTAAGGACACCCAGACATGCAGGCACTCCAACATTTCTCCAGGGAGGAAATGGTGCCCACAAGTGTGATAAGTCAGGCAGTACTGTCCCCTGATCTAATTCTCATACCACCACCCTGAGATCAAAGCCTTGCACCCACCAGACTGTAGATTGGCCCTCAGAGGGCCAACCCCGTACCTCTCCCCCACCAATCGTATCCCCCATCCCTTGCAACTCATCTCCATCGAGGTTCAACCCGCAAATTGCATGGCGACCCCTCACCTGGTAATAGCCAACGCCAGGTGCGGCGTATACATCCGATGCCACCCCGGCGAACCCAACTGCTCACCTCCTTATATTGCCCCCAAGTCCCCACCCACCGGGATCCGACCGGCTGGGAGGACTCCCGGGTCGCCGTGACCTCAGGCTCCGTCAAAATGGAGTTTAACGCACCAAACCACTGCCCCCCATCCCATCCTGCGGGCCCAGGCCCGGACTATCCCAACCCCACCCTTCGGCCAATATAACATCCATCTACGACCACCGACACCAATCACCCAATCTCCACGGGGAGCTTCCGTTCATTCGCATTCAACCCACTCCTCGCGTCTTCATACCTACGCCTCCGCATGCACCCCACAACCACTATCCCCCTGGAGCTCCTCTAGACCCCTTCCGCCACAAATCACAACATAAGACAAGGAACACCCCTGCAGGGGTTTCCAACGGGGGGCCCATTAAGGATTCGAACACCATTAATGCCAACCACGCATTAACCGATCACCCCCTTCCATAAGCTGCGACACCCCATAGCGCGGTCCGTCCGCCCAACCGCGCCCCCCCCCCCTAATTATACTGCCATCGAGGACGGGTCACACTCGGCATTTCGTTCGGCCCCATCTAGGAAAAGCATGAGGGGGACCCAGGCCTACACCCAGGCCCGCACATACACCTACGCTCCAATAAGCACGGCCGCCGGGGGTCGGGGGGAACCCTTGACGAAATCCTATCCCGACCACCACTCCATTCTCCCTCGTTGGCGTACCAGCCCATCAAACACTTGACCATTCTCGCGGCCCCCTCCCCCACCTGCACACTTCCACCCAGACACAGGGGGGGGGGTCCATGAGCCAAAAAAAAGCTGGGACTTCCAACTTCCTCCTCCCGGTGTCGGAGAAAAGAAGGGCGATAATACACATTTTAGTTAGGGGCGCGGCGCGGGTTCTTGACCCCGGTCCCATCAACGTGGCGTTTTCGTAACCCCGAAGTCTTAACATCGAA